CTGGGTTTACGGATGTCGTCCTTCAATCGTCCAATATCTGGTACTGGCAAGACGAAGTCGAGGTCTGAATGACTCGATGCAACACCCGTCCGCCAGGAGCCAGTCAACTGGGGCCTATGAGGGACTTCTTCGAGGAGCTTCGAGATTGTGTCCACTAGTCCGTTCACTTGGTTCTGTTCATCCAAAGTTGGCATCAGATAGGCGTCCAGAGCTCGAATTTCAGCGTCTAGGTGCGCTGTAGCGTCGGACGTGTTATTCCCAGCATAGTGACTGAGCCATGGCCACTGCTCCGGTCGGTTCTGTAGCACGCTCACACCCCATCGCAACTGCTGGTTCACCCAATCCGGTGGTTTTTCGTGGTCAGATCGGAGCCGAGACTTGACATATCTATCTAACTCCCGACGACTGATTCTCGGTTTTTGAATACTTTCCGGCGTGACCTGTTTCTGTTCCTCCTCCTGTTTATGAGCTGGTTTGGTGACCGCTCTATGTGTCTTTGGGCGACGGTTCTTCTTCGGAGGTGCGGTGGTGTTCACCACGCGAAACAGACTGGCTCGGTTTGAGGCACGATGAGCATCCAGCGTCTTCTGCAGACTGTCTGGAAAGACTTCCGCAGAATTTTCGTCGCGCGAGTGGAAATGAGCGGTAGAGCCATGGAGCTGGCGGGACGATGCTGTACAAAAGCTGGATAGAGTGGAGAGGCGATGAGGACGTAGACCAGGAAGAGGGCCAACAAGGCGCATGGCAGCGCGATCAGGCGAGCAACAGCATTGCGAAGGGAAACGGAGAATCCAGGGCATGTACTTGGACGGAGAAGGCCGGATGAGGTGATTATGAGAGCAAAGTGACGCGCAAACGAAAGGAACGGGTTTTTTTGAGGAAGAAGATATGATGATAGAATGATATGTTTGCGATAGTGTCATGTGACCGTCACGTGGAGAGCCCTAGTCACGTGCGCTGGCGGGAATAGCATCGAAGTCGACGGTTTAGGAATGAAATCATAGAGAAAAGAAGAAAAAAGTGATTCAGAGACTCAAGAGTGACTGCGACAGAGACAATCCTGCATCCTGTTTTGTTCTTCCCCGTCTTTCTACCGGTGCTCCGTATACTACACCTACACCTACTTTATATATATCTTGATTTGTTCTATATTAATCCATCCCTGGTATTTTTCCTAATTTACTCTGCTAATTATCCCTTCCCTCCTGTCCAATTCCTTGGGCCTGTAACCACTGCTTATCGCCTTGACTGGTTCTGGCCGGACTTCTCCCCTCCTCTCTAGTCTCTTCCATTCTCTTCCAGCGACTTTTCCTCCTCTCACACCTCTTCCTTTTCTCTTCATCCTCGACCTTATTTTCTTCGTTCTATTCTATCGTTTTCCTTTCTATACTCTATATTAGTCGCTATTCTCACTCATGGCTTCTTCTGCTTTTTATCTCCCTCAATAGTCCCGCCCCCTCCTCCGTCTCCGTTCGCTGCAACCAGGTACAGTAATCTCTTCTCCCTCTCACCCAACGCCATATCCTCTTCCCAGCTTATCCTAAGCGTTTCAAAACTAACATATGCCTCTAGTCCTATCCACGGATCCCTTTTTTTGCGCAGACAAAAAGTCCCTCTTCCTCGTTTCCCCTCTCCCTCTAATTCGCGATGTCCGAGCACGAGACCCCCCGCGTCCCCGACGGCCAGCCAGATCCGGTCATGGTCGGTCCCGGTATGAAGGCCTTGGGCGACGACGCCTATACCAAGGCATCCACTGTCACTCCCAGCCTCAACTTCGATAAGAAGGATCCCGCTGCCAGCGACACTCCCTCCTACTTTTCTGACAATCCCGGCACTCGCAACGCTCCGCCGCCCGATGGTGATAGCGACGTCACCACCCCCGCCACCCCCGAACAGGCTGCAAAAAATGCGAAATCGGGAAGGGAACTGCTGCGCCGGTTGAGTCTTGTGGGAGGTACGCCGCAGACTATCCCGGAGCCGGACCCTCGCGAGCAGCACCCCGGATTACGCCTCTCCGGGCGAATCATCAGCGCCGCCTTCTGTATACCTTACAAGTTGTATTTTCAGTCGGGATCGGATTGGGTATGGTGTACCTTTCAATGCCCTTCATATTCATTTTAGACTGACATTAAACCCGTTGTAGGAACTCAAAACCCGTCGCGGTACGTCGGCGCTGTTTGATTCGTTCGCCTATCTCGGTTCCGATAGCACAAAATGGTCGCATACATTAGTCGGGTGGACAGGCGAAATCGAGCCAATTGAAAGCGAGAAATCCCCGTTACAGCACATCCCCGTCAATGTCGGCGCAAAACCCCAAGGGCCCTCCGGTGCCACCACCGGCCCCGTGCCCTTGCCCGTGAACAAAGCCGCGGCTCCAGTTCCCGTGGATGCCAGTCAAAAGCAACCCGCCCATCCCTTTTTGGAAGGGATAAGGGTCACGAAAGAGGACCGTGATCGCCTGGATGCGCAATTGAGTTCCTGTCGCTACGGTCGAATTGCTCCCGTGTGGCTCACGGATGAAACCGAAGACCAGGATCCGGAAGATACATTATTGCTAGAAGACCAAGGGCGATGGAGACGCTATGCTGAGCGGGAATTATATCCGCTTTTACACTACAAGCAGCATGGTCCTACTGATGGCCGGTGTGAACGTAGTTGGTGGGCGGATTATGTCCGTATGAATCGACTGTTCGCGGACCGCATCCTGGAGGAGTACCAGGAAGGGGACATTGTTTGGATTCATGACTACCACCTGTTTCTCTTACCCATCATGCTGCGCCAACGGATCCCCAATCTCTTTATTGGGTTCTTTTTGCATGCCCCATTCCCCAGTAGCGAGTTTCTACGGTGTCTCGCGAAACGGAAAGAAGTCTTAACAGGTGTGTTGGGTGCCAATATGCTCGGGTTCCAGACCTTCTCATACTCCCGTCACTTTTCGTCTTGCTGCACAAGGATCCTTGGATTCGATTCGAATTCTGCCGGAGTGGATGCATACGGCGCGCACGTGGCTGTGGACGTGTTTCCTATTGGTATTGATTCCAAAGCGATTCAAGATGCTGCATTTGGCGCCCCAGAAATTGAAAAGGCAGTTGCGGGACTTCGGAAATTGTACGCTGGAAAGAAGATCATCGTTGGTCGTGACCGATTGGACAGCGTCCGTGGAGTGTCACAAAAATTGCAGGCTTTTGAATTGTTCTTGGAGCGCTATCCAGAATGGCGCGACAAGGTTGTGTTGATTCAGGTCACCAGCCCGACTAGTGTCGAGGAAGAAAAAGAGGACCCGGAAAACAAGATTGCTAGCCAGGTCTCCACCTTGGTTGCCAGCATCCATGGCCGATTTGGCTCGTTGAGCTCTTCGCCTATCCAATACTACCCACAGTACCTGACCCCGCACGAGTACTTTGCTCTGTTGCGGGTGGCCGATGTTGGGTTGATCACGACTGTCCGAGATGGCATGAACACGACCGGTCTAGAGTATGTCATCTGCCAACAGGAGAACCATGGTCCCTTGATCCTCTCCGAGTTCTCTGGTACCGCTGGTACCCTGTCCAACGCGATTCACATCAACCCTTGGGACCTGGCGGGTGTGGCTGGCGCCATCAACCAGGCATTGACCATGTCCCCCGAGAAGAAAGAGGAACAGCATACGAAACTCTACAGACATGTAACTACCAATACGGTGGGAACATGGTCCAAACAATATCTGAACCGCCTCCTCACCAATCTCTCTTCCTTTGATCAATCTGAGTCAACCCCGGCGCTCGATCGCGCCAAATTGTTGAGACAGTATCGCAGAGCCCGAAAGAGATTGTTTATGTTCGACTACGACGGAACTCTTACACCCATTGTCAAAGATCCACAAGCGGCCATCCCATCAGACCGCGTGCTGCGGACTATTAAGAGCCTTGCGGCCGATCCCCGCAATGCTGTCTGGATTATCAGTGGTCGTGATCAGGCCTTCCTGGATGAGTGGATGGGCCATATCCCCGAACTGGGTCTGAGTGCGGAGCACGGCTGCTTCATCCGAAAACCTTGTTCAGACGACTGGGAGAATCTGGCGGAGAAAACGAACATGGGATGGCAAAAGGAGGTCATGGAGGTTTTCCAACACTACGCGGAACGGACACAGGGTTCTTTCATCGAACGGAAACGGGTGGCCTTGACCTGGCACTATCGCCGGGCGGATCCTGAATACGGTGCGTTCCAGGCCCGAGAGTGTCGGAAAGAGTTGGAGGAGACAGTGATGAAGAGGTGGGATGTAGAAGTAATGGCAGGCAAGGCGAACCTTGAAGTCCGGCCGACATTCGTCAACAAGGGTTTCATTGCTACTCGCTTGGTCAACGAGTATGGCACGACTCCTGGAAAGGCTCCTGAGTTCATTTTGTGTCTAGGTGATGATTTCACTGATGAAGGTATTTCTTCCCCACTCCTCTTCCTTTGGACCAAGACTAACAATTTCCCAGATATGTTCCGTGCCCTTCAAAAATTCGACCTGCCATCCTCCCATGTCTACTCAGTCACCGTCGGCGCAAGCTCGAAACAAACCGAGGCCAGCTGGCATCTCCTCGAACCCGCCGATGTGATTGGGACGATCGGGATGCTGAACAACAGCTCGAGTAATCAGGAGTATTAGAAGTCTTATTTACTTGCTTTTTTCTTTGAGGATCTAGACGAGGGACTCTGGATTCGATTTCGATTTCGATTTGACTCGCACGATATATACTTTATATATACTTCCAAAACCGCCCGTGTCCGTGCCGTGCCACGTAGAGGGATATGAAGGAGTTAGGTTATACTGGCGTATTGGCGATTTTTTGTGTTATTTCTGCTCCAGCAGTGACACGTTGCTGCTCATTTGGGATCGCAACGGTTTTGCTATAGATAGACATGTTTAAACGGAATATAAAATAGAGAATTGATCGATGCCAAAGTTGATGATCTCTGGTCTATCTAGTCGTGTTCCGCAGATACCCTTCACTACCCACGAAGTACAAGTAAACCTAATGATCCCAAACAACAGCCGGGATTTGTCCCTTCATTTCCTTCTTAGCATACAACGCCCCCGTCCTCCCTTCCTTCTCATCCCACCTCGTAACAACAACCTCCTCCCCATCCTGCAACGCAACAGCCACCAAATGCTGATGCTTGCCAGGAGAAATCTCGAACTGGCGCGGGTTAACCCCGTAGGCGGGCTCGAGGCCCAGGAAGGATGGTTTTGTGAACGCGGTGCCGGAGTCATTGGCGATGGAGAAGGTGGCGAAAGAGTCGTTGTTGGGGCCGAAGGTTGAGTCGAGGCGGTTGGAGACGATGATGTGGTTGTTTGTGGGCTTTTGTTGTTAGCGATATATTATTGAGAATGAAAGGGAAAGGGAAGGGAAGGGAAAGGGCCTACCGAAATGGCAATTCCAGACGCCTTGGATCCATCCGGACCAGGCTTCTGCCCGCCAAAGGTACTCTCCTCGTACACACTGGTGAACTCCATGCTACCAGACTCCGAGTAGGCCACCTTATACCCAGTCAGGGTGTTCATCAACTCCGACACAAGGTAAAAGTACACTTCGACCTTGCCATTCGCAACCTGCGCCCCCGTCACACTCTTCGGCGTCCAGAAAGCAAGATGCCGCGGCCCCAAGCCAGGCTTAGTGACCAACGGCGAGACCTCCTTCAACTGGCCGGTGTGCTGGTTGATTTCGAAGATGCGGACAAAGTCAGCGCCCAGGTCTGGGACTAGGACGTAGCGGCCTGTTGGGTCGAGGTAGGCGCCGTGAGGGTGTGGTGCGTCCTGGCGTTCAGCGTTGGGGCCAGGGCCGTCCATGTGGAAGTTGAAGGTCTGGGAGCGGTTGAAGATGCCGGTGATGGGGTCGACGGAGTAGGTGGTAACGGCGGAGCCGTCGCTTCATTTGTCAGTATATTTGAATAGGTAAATGTGTAGACATGGAAACATACTAATGAGCAACGGCAATGAACTTGCGGCCAGGAACCCCCGGCGCAGAATACAGCACCGACATGACCGGACCGCTAATGGTCTCGATATGTTTAATCGGGGTAAGAGAGCCATTGGCGTTGGTATGGAACGAAGCGATGCTGCCATTGGGGACATTGAGGCCCTCATCCAGACAGTACAGGATGTCATGGGGACCGTCCAGCATCAGCCACGAAGGACTAGGGCCGCAGCTGGTGAACTCTGCAATAACGGATAAATTTCCGGTACCATTGCTAGCAGGCGCTAGGGAAAGCGTGGAAACGATCCCGGCGTACGAGGCGGCGTATAGTCGAGAAGCCATAGCCATGGCCGGGGATGCGCAGAGCGCGGCTGTGAACCAGGAGGATTTCATTCTGACAGTGGTCTATTGTTTTTTCTTTCTCTATTTTTGCTTTTTTATTTCCGGGTAGGGCTTACATGTAAGTATGTATGTATGCAGCCGGGGATTAACTTTCCATAGAACGAGTCGCGAAGAATGCACCAAGGGGAGTGTACAGCAGCCAAAAAACAAGATTGACACCGAAAGCCAATTCCGGCTATGAGAACGAGCTGACACGAGGTAAAACCCGTTTGCCCTCAAGATATTCCGTACTTTGAAGCGTGCCTGAGATAAGCTCGAGAGGTTTGAGAGAAGCCTGGACTGGGCCTGCGATACACCCGATACCGGGGCTTATAAATTATGACGCCGGATTGATGTTCTCGAATCTCGAATCTTAACAATCACTGTGATTAACTATCAGATGGGATTATGCCCAGAACTCTCGGTCAACATAGACTCGGAGGGTTCATACTAGTCCATACAGGGTCAGCCAAGCCCGCAGAACCACCGAGATCATCAGAAAACAGCCGCACATCATCCCGTGCTTTCCTCGGGTTATCGGTGGAGTTTGGCAGAGGAGACGGAGTTTAAGCGGAGATCAACATCTCGTTCCAGCAATGACATTGCCACCTTTCCAGCATGCTTTGGGACTAGTCCAATAGCCGAAGTCACCGGAAGCTGCAGAATTTGAGCAGACCACCCTCATACACTCGTGTCAAGTAGATCATGCTGCCCTATGCTGTACACTGGTTCGGCTACTGGAAAAACTTCAGAATAAACTCAATAGGGCTCGTAGATTTCCAGAGTGATGGTGCTCAATCATATTGTACTGCTAATTTCTACTAAACGAATCGTTATCTATCCCAAAGGTACGGGCTACACCGTTGGCAAAAGGAGCCCTATACACAATCCCATGCACAGCGGATTACTTTAAGCCACCGGTGTTCACTACCGCTCTTGGCCTGCCTATCAGAGACGTTGATGCCTCCCACGTTCTCTTGCCATGAAATTGGCAACGCCCCACGATCACTTCCCAGAAACCGCCAACTTTGGTTCGTCGTTCTGGGCATTGCGCTTACTTGCACCACCGGCAAGCCTGTTTTCCTACCCAATATGCTCTTATCCAGTAAGACTGTCGGTATCGTCGGAACTTGGCGGTGTTGCAGAATCCACCCCGAGTCCCAAATTTCCCGACTGAGTTTCTCGGCTTGCCGACCTTGGCCCGTGGAAATCCGGTACCCAAACATAGTATGCCGTACACGGTCTTTTTTCCATTCTCCACTTTGTTGTAGAGTATACTTCGCATGCCATTTCGGTGTCTTTTCGGTGAGATTTCGACTCTCAAGGTTTGTCGGAACCATCTATTGTCCTCATGCGCACTATATTCAGCCCGCTCCGCTTCTCCCAGGGTTGTCAGCATCGATCTTGGCAGAGATAGATCATCTTGGTTCGGAGTTGTTGGTAGAATGGGTGACACAGGTGCTTATTCGTGCTGTGATTAGCTCGTTGCTTCTTGCCGTACCAGATTCATATGATGACAGACTTGATGGGAAGAAAGACCCGAAAGTCTATATAAGGTGATATCAGCCTCGCATGAGACCTTTCTTCTCCCAGGCCTGATTTGTTTTTTCATCATTAGCTTTCTTGCTCTTCTTTCGGCAACTCTCTGATTTTTCTCTTTCCTCCTTTTCTTCTTTCTCCTTGTTGTTGCTCCGTCGAGCAGTACGCCATCATGAGGCCACTCATCTGGTCTTTGTTTCTCTACGTCACGACGGCACTGCCCAAGTTCCCTCGTGAGCATTCTGACGTTCAACCTCAACTGCTCACCGACCCAACCGTGCTTGCCAACACCACTGTCGACTACATCATTGCCGGTGGTGGCTTGACCGGCCTGACCATTGCCGCACGCCTGACCGAGGACCCTAACATCAAGGTCTTGGTCATCGAGAGTGGCTTCTTCGAATCAAACCGTGGTCCCATCATCGAAGATCTCAACAGATATGGTGAAATTTTCGGGACCGAGGTTGACCATGCATTCGAGACTGTCCCACTTGCCGTCAACAACCGTACCGAGAATATTCGCTCCGGTAATGGCCTGGGAGGTTCCACCCTTGTCAACGGTGGTACCTGGACCCGACCTCACAAGGTTCAAATTGACAGCTGGGAGAGGGTCTTTGGCAACCAAGGCTGGAACTGGGATGATCTTCTCCCATACATGCTCGATATCGAGAAAGCCCGCCCCCCCAACCAGAGGCAAATCGAGGCTGGCCATTACTTTAACCCACAGTGCCACGGGTCGAACGGTACCGTCCATGCTGGACCCCGTGACACTGGCGAGTCTTACTCTCCTATCATGAGGGCGCTTATGGACACTGTCAGCGCAGATGGCGTCCCTGTCAGGAAGGACTTGAGCTGCGGTGACCCTCACGGAGTGTCCATGTTCCCCAACTCGTTACACGAGAGCCAAATCCGTGCCGATGCTGCGCGCGAGTGGCTGGTCCCCAACTACTATCGGCCCAACCTCCAAGTTTTGACCGGCCAATCGGTTGGTAAAGTGTTGCTGGACAAGACCGTTCCTGGTGCTCCCAAGGCAATTGGTGTTGAGTTTGGAACGCACAGGACTCGAAAGTATGAAACCTTTGCTAGCCGGGAAGTCCTGCTGGCGGCCGGATCGACTATTTCCCCTACGATTCTCGAGTACTCGGGCATCGGTATCAAGTCGGTTCTGGACTCGGTTGGCATCGAACAGGTGGTGGACCTGCCGGTTGGTCTTAACCTTCAAGACCAGACCACCGTCAACTTGCAGTCAAGGATCACCCCAGCTGGTGCCGGTCAGGGCCAGGCTGCGTACTTTGCCACATTCAACGAGACATTCGGCGACTTTGCTCCCCAGGCACACGAACTGCTCAACATCAAGCTGGACCAGTGGGCCGAAGAGGTCGTGGCCCGAGGCGGCTTCCACAACGCGACGGCACTGAGGATCCAGTATGAAAACCACCGTGACTGGCTGGTTAACGACAACGTGGCTTACACCGAGCTCTTCCTCGACACGGCCGGCAAGATTAGCTTCGACGTGTGGGACTTGATCCCCTTCACTCGCGGCTATGTTCACATTGCGGACAAGGATCCCTACCTCCGCCGCCTGAACAACGACCCTCAGTACTTCCTGAACGAGCTTGACGTGCTAGGCCAGGCCGCTGCTTCCAAGCTTGCCCGCGAGCTCTCCAGCAGGGGAGCCATGGCGCAGTACTTCGCCGGCGAAACTGTACCCGGGTATGATAAATTGCCAGCGGATGCGAGCTTGCAGGACTGGGCGAAGTACGTGAAAAACAGGTTCCGGGCCAACTACCACGCCGTGAGTACATGTTCCATGATGCCCAAGGAGATGGGGGGTATTGTAGACTCGACGGCACGTGTGTATGGCGTTGAGAGATTGCGGGTGGTCGATGGCTCTATTCCTCCAACGCAGGTGTCGTCGCATGTGATGACAGTGTTTTATGGCATGGCGGCGAAGATCGCAGAGGCGATTCTGCAGGATTATCATGCGCGGAAGTAAAGTGCATAACAGTGTTGTTGGCGGTTACTGTACAGTTAGTTAATCGCGGCATCTGTAATTATTTTGGATACTGTCATTTTTTCATTCTGATAGAAGTTAATAGACCCATAGACTTGGTGAATTGATTCTCTTTGGACTGGATATTCTTTTCTGTCAGCATCGGAACCATCATCCGACGCCCTATCCGCGATAAATCAGAGTTTTAGCAATAATGCAGGATCCCTGATGGACGGATATGTTGAAGTCCAGTGAGAACGAGGATAAAGTGAGTGAGAGAGAGAGAGAGAGAGAGAGGGAGGGGGAAGGAGGGAGAGAGAACGTGGAGGTGGAGAGATCTGATACGCGTTCCCGATTAGGCAAGCCGGATACTAACCCGAAAAGGAGAATTCCCCGGATGACTGACATGACTGCATAGTTACTACTATGTACAGTTATGAGGTACAGTACTTCACTCAATGTATATAAACATTCACTAGAATATACACTAGAATAGAGTCAAGGCAGTCCATTGCCGGGATACCACCCGAGACCTATCCGAGGCTATCAATATCCGGGGTCGGTCATCTGTCCGAACGCAGACTCGATTGGAAGGAATTGTGACAATCCTAAATCCTTCTAGGGCTGGAACTGAGAATTTTCTCAATGCAGATTCTCCACATCAGATGCTCTCCGTGACTCACTCTTGTCGAGTCGTGATATTAGAAATCCTGCTTCCCCGGATTTCAAACACAAGGACCATTTCTAATCATTAATACTACCTTGTTTTTGTTAAAGACCACCAAAAGCCGTCGGGATTTGGTGCGGAATAGTCAATTTACAGCGTGACTTCTGACAATTCAACTAAAATGGCTTCATCTTCGCAAGGAAATTCCCCCAATAGCTGTCAGAATGCCGGTGTCAACGAGAAACCCTCCGTCGACGACCAATATGTCGATGCAATTGACTCCCCCAGAGACGAGGAATCAGCAATAGGCTACGACCCCGAGAAACAAGACAACGAACCCAAAGAGCTCACCAAAACCACCACCAACGGCAGCCATATCGGCAACCTAACCACAAGAACCCTCTCGCTCGTCCGGACTAGAGAATCCGGCAAAGACGTCGGGCCTCCTCCAGATGGGGGCTTCGAAGCATGGCTGCAAGTAGGCCTGGCGCATATGGTTATTTTCAATACTTGGGGCTACATCAACAGCTTTGGCGTGTTCCAGACATACTATGTTGAGATGCTTGGTCATCCGCCGTCTGATATCTCGTGGGTTGGAAGTATACAGATCTTCCTGCTTTTCTTTGTTGGGACTTTTGCAGGTCGTGCGACGGATGCCGGCTACTTCAAGCTCATTTTGACGGCTGGAGCTCTGCTAGAATTGTTCTCTATTTTCATGACCTCTCTGTGCACCAAGTACTGGCAACTCTTCCTGGCGCAGGGTCTTGGTCAGGGTCTCGGATGCGGACTCATGTTCTGTCCCACTGTCGCTCTAATGCCAACATACTTTACCAAGAATCGAGGCATTGCTATTGGTATCTCCGCATCTGGGTCAGCAACAGGGGGGCTCGTCTTCCCCGCAGTGGTCATGCGACTCCTACCCCGGGTGGGCTACGGATGGACCATGCGAACGCTGGGGTTCATTTCCCTGGCCACGCTTAGTCCCAGTGTGTTCTTCCTGCGACAGCGCCTCCCCCCTCGCAAGAGCGGCCCACTGGTCGAATGGGGAGCGTTCAAGGAACTGCCATACCTCCTCTTCGCCATCGGCATGTTCCTCAACTTCTGGGGCCTGTATATCGGATTTTTTTACATCGGCAGCTTTGGCCGCGACATCGTTGGTGTCTCTCAGACCGTATCCATCAATCTACTCCTGGTCATGAACGGCGTCGGCCTCCTGGGTCGTCTGATCCCGAACCTCATGGCTGACAAGTACACCGGCCCACTGAACATGCTGATCCCATTCAGTCTAGCGACCGGTATCGTCGCATACGGCTGGAGCGGCGTAAATAGTCTGAGTGGACTATACGCCTTCGCTGTCTTCTATGGTCTGTCTGCAGCCGGTATCCAGTCACTATTCCCAGCGACGCTGAGCACGCTGACGACGGATCTGAAGAAGACGGGCGTGCGGATGGGAATGGTGCTTAGTGTTGTCGGTATTGCGGCGCTGATTGGGTCGCCAATCGCTGGTGCGCTAGTCCAGGAGGATAATGGCGAGTATCTGTATGCGCAGATGTTCATGGGCAGTGCTATTATAGCTGGATCTATAACTTTGGTCACGGCGAGGATAGCCAAGTTGGGATTCACCTGGAATCGGGCATAATTGGGATGTGATGAACTGAAAATAGTCATACTGTATTATAATATTTAATCGTCATTGGAAAGGAATGGGAAAAGTTTTGTATACAAAATGATTACATCGGCTGCGATCTGATTGCCTCAGGCGGTGGATACGATCTGTTGATCTCCGCGTGACTCGATTCCAAAACATTCAATTACTCATTCTTCTTCTTTTTTTTTTTTTTTCTACAATAGAACAGCAATTCCTCGATATTCATACTGTCCCTATAGGGTATTTCCAGCCAGAGCTTGTGAATAGTTCATTTCTCTTTATAATCCACATTTGGTATGTGAATCACCCCTCCAAAAACCTGCCCCGCAGCCTTACTGACCGAATCTGCATTCCTACAGAATTCTATATTTCGTACCTGATAAAACTGAAGCACTCTTAGCCCATCACATACTAAACTACAGCATTCATAATGGCGCCCCGTGGCCGTGGAAAGTTCGCAAAGCCCAGCAGAGGAGGTACATGGCAGCCCAGGATAAAACTTTCGTGTTGGACGGACAAGAAGACTGACGAATTGGATATTGTAACAGGTGGAAAACACTTCAGTCGCGATGTCCAACCAACCGACAAAGATGGAAACCCCGTGAGCTTATGGCGGGTACGTCAAGCCTGACCCTTCTACGATTACGCCGTACGCCACGAGCATATCTGACAACTATTCAAACAACAGGAATCCCAAGGTGAAATCCCCTCTTCCGATGAAGAAGAACAAGAAGAATCCGGCTCTGGCAGCAGCTCCGAGGAAGAATCTTCAGAGGAAGAAGGTGAAGACAAAGCCGGCCCCAGCTCCTCAGCAGCCGCCGATGTGACCCGTGAAGAGCGCCGCGCCGCCGCAAAGGCCAAGAAACAAGCCGCCATCGCAAAGCGCAAGCAAATGGCTCTTCAACCGGGCGACCTCCCGCCCTCGGACTCCGAAGACGAGAATGACGTGAAGGAGAACAACGGCGGCGAGAGTGAGGGTGAGGGTGAGGGTGAGGGTGAGGGTGAGAGCGGCGAACTTCCCGCAAACCCCAACCACACGGTGTCGTCTCGCAAGCAGCTGGAGAAGACAGATGAGGAGACCAAGCCTAAGAAGGATCTGTCGCAGCTGTCGCGTCGGGAGAGGGAAGCCCTTGAGGCGCAGCAGGAGAGGGAGCGGTATATGAAGCTACATGCGGAGGGCAAGACGGAGGAAGCGCGGTCGGATCTGGCACGACTGGCGCTTATCCGGGAGCAGAGAGAGTCGGAACGGGCCCGGAAGCAGGCTGAGAAGGAAGAGAAGGAGGCCGTGGCCAAGGAGAAGGCGGCTGCGCGCGATGCGCTTTTGTCCAAGAAGAATACCAATAAGAAGGGCGGGGGCAAGAAGAAATAATCCGGCCTCTAATGCTATGAATTGTTTCAGGATTTTCCTTTTCACACCTACCGGTTCAAGCGAGGTTCATGAATGCTATGACATTATTTGGATATAAGAGGTCTCTATATAAGAACGCTATGATGAAATTTGATGCCATGTCGATGTGGTCGAGACAAACCAGTAAAAGCAAAAGCAATAAATAACCAATTTCCCATGTACACCGGCGCCTACCGAATCATGGAATATGTATCAACAGCCAATAGAAAAACAATTAAACACCCCAGAACAGACCCTCCACACTGTGCCCTTGCAGGACCACTCCCCAGCCGGCGATCAAGCTCACCAGCCACAGAACCGCAAAGACCAGAATCGGAAGAAGGAGCAATTCCGTGTTATGCAGGAAGGGTAGGGCGTTGTACCCTAGGAAAGTAATATAGGTGTAGTAGGTGAAGGCCGACAAATAGAGGGTATTCCCGAGAAACGCAGCGAGAAAGTTGCCGCTGCGGGTGAGGAGGGGTAGGAGGAGGAATTGGACGACGTAAAGATGGAGGTACAGAGGGAAAAATGCACGGCTGGAGACCTAATGACGATCATCTGTCAGTAGCAATTCCACAGGAGATAAACGGACAACCTACATCAAAACAGTATCCGAACTCCAACTGATCCTTCTCGCCCGGCTGCGTGAACAGGCCTTGCGCAGCGCCTCGTCTCCGGCCGCGCGATCCTCTGAATCCTGTCAGGGATGCAGCCGCACCGTCAGGTCCAAACAGTCGGCCGATGGCAAAGTAGGCGATGGTGGATATGAGCAGCGACGACCCGATAAAGTGGAAGAATATGAAGAAAAAGGATAGGCGAAAGATAGATCCGAAGGAGGGGGTATATGCGAGGCCCCATGCGAGTGCTGTGAGCAGGAGGAAGAAGGAGAGGAGATGGGTGAATGATGGATCTGGTCGATGCCATGTGTTTTTGGTTTCTGTATTGAGAGCATTAGCTTGAGGGCCGTTGTCTCTTCGGTCTCAGGGCGGAGTTCACGTACGTTTCTATCGACGCAACGAGTTAGCATGATATTTGAACAAATCCCGGAGTTGAATGGACTCACATGATAGTAGATAGACTTGAACACCTTTTTGGGCGCAACCAATAACGATGTCATCTCCCAAATGGCCATCTCAAAGTCCATCTGGGGAAACTTGAACAGCCTACCGCAGGCATTAGAAACATTGTAGTGTGATCAATGCCAATCCGGTCCGTTGTAGCCCCTCCACTAGACTGATATGCGCATATGCTGTATGAACGGAAAGCAATGGATGCTCACCTCTTGAAGAAACGCGGCATCCGTATACTGGACCCCCGGCTTGCTGGCGCTGAGACACCAAAGGTGGATGAGGCATGCTGGCGGGGGAGGGAGATGTGCGGATTCATGTTGTGTGATGGAATCCCCAATCCCAGGTATACCTGACTGGGCACGCGACAATAAACCAAAGAGGTTGGCGTGGAATAATGAATCGAGAATCGTATCGCTTGAACCGTCGTTGTTGATTAATTAGTTAACTAGGCGTTGAGATGGTTATGTCATCCGCATCGGGGGAACATGAAGCCGTTCCGTTGGGCATGTAGTTCTACTTGTACAGCCATAGATACATTTAACGAGGAGCTTAATGACGGCTCTAGAAATGGATTCTAATGCTTCTCATTCTGAACGGAGAATATAATTCAGTTCGTTCACCGTTCAAAGCACGGAGTACACTGATGAACCCGAACTATTGATGACCGCTGCTCTGTAAGAGCACAGAGTACATACAACTTGTGGAATGTGAACAAACTATTGCAACTTGGAATGTACACTTCATAGGTGCATACTCAAAGTTTGGACCTGTCACTTATCTTTTGCTGCCGCTGGAAGAACGTTGTTGAAGACTCAGTAGTGAGGTGGATCTCTTCCAATAATCTCAGGATTGCCAAGGAGGGCTCTCGGGTTAACAAAGTACCCAGAATTAATCAGGACGCCTTGGTTGGCATTATCAACTGCCTCGTTCCGTTGAGTCTTTCCCCTCATTGATGAAATCATACTCGATTGTGCCAGTTGCAGATATGCGAAACGCTCGCTGTATGTACTACTTGTACGAAGCTGCTAGTGGGCAGGTGATACATCACTGCTAATTAATGAGTTAAAATCGAGCAAGAGAAGAGAAGAAAAATAGCAAAATGATACAGGGTTTGACTGTCCGGTTGTCTCCGGTTGATCGACTATGTTTCACTGCATCCGAATTTATTGCTTTTTGACACTCGCTGCAGAGTGGGTTCCTCCCTTCTGGGGCCCTCTCCACCCACGGCACGGCCAGCCAGATGGCATTGTAACATAGCGTGGAATAGCATCAACTGCAGTGGGCAGGAAATGGTCAGACCCGGGCAGAGGACCGTTAGATTGATCGAACGGGTGGGTGTATTAGAGTACGGGAATCGTTCAGCAGAGGAAATAATTCCGGTACTCCGTGCTACTCTTGATATTGATCGAGTATTTTGCTGGAGAGTGCTCTTATCGTACCCTTTCATACTTCCAGGGGCACGGGATATACACTTTGTACACAGTCCGGGGCAGAGCTCGGCTGCAAATCTCCGAAAGAAGAGGTCCATTCTTAGCCCAGTGCATGATTCAGGGTCAATCCTTCCTGATAATATCGCCATTGATTGATTCAAGAGCATCGTTATTACCATGCCCCTGAGCATCTTCTCTGTGTATTGTAGTTATCTACCCTGCACAGATCCTCAACGGCGAAACTTTCAATAGTCGATGATCCATCGTGCGGTTAGTTTTATGATAATTAATGTTAGAGCTCGTAATAAAGAAATGTACTTCGTACGCGAAACGATAATAATAATTCTGGTTGACGGTCCTTGAGCTGGTGGAGTTCCCATCTCCATCTCTCTCCATCTCGGCTCTCTCCATCGTTTCCCTCTCCCTCTTCGCTTTTCTTTCTTCTCCTCACTCAACGCCATCAATTGATGGACAATTCCACCCTTCATGCTATTTACTACTAATTACTAGTTTTTCTTCTTCTTATCCTCCTCTCCTCCTCTTTCTCCCACTCCCACTCCTCCCCCCCTTTGTTGTTCCACTTTTCCATCGCGGTCCCTTTTCTCCTTACGCCTCTTTCATGCAATTTCCGCGCCAGAAACACGCACCTGCATCTTCTGCATTCGACACGGCCTATAACTATTCCGAAATACCAAGCGCAGCAAGGAATCCTCGTCGTTTGGTCTTAAAAAAAAAGAAAAGAAAAGAAAAGAGGTTCGGGACTATCGCGGTCGACACCACCTATAACTATCTCAATCGTCGCCTTGGGTCAAGAGCTCGAGTTGACCTGGAAATCTATTCCACAACAGTGATTTGTACCTCGTGCCTCCCGGAGGCTGGTTTCAATTCGTTCAGTAACCGCCCATCATGAACCGGACCAGACCAGACAACGGCAAAGCCCCTCAGCGCGATCCGTCCGATCTTTCCCCTCCGCGAACACCCCCTTCACAAATGTCCAGTTATCAGACCACAAGGAAAGGTCCGCAGGGACGGCCGTCTTTGCAGGACGCATTCCCGGACGACACAACCGCCACTGACACGGCCAACAATAGCAGCAACGAGTCTGGCGACGAGCCCGACCCGCATGACCTTTCCCTGTCTCCCAAGCATGCTGCCCGAACATCCATTGTGGACAACATGTTACAATCCCTAGACCAATTCTCAGCGGGAACTTCGGTTCTTGATGATTATCGCCTATTCCACTCCGTTCTCGAATCCGACTTCTATAACCGAGATTCGCCGGCCTCCTCGTCCCACGGCCGCTTTCGAGGCCATACCTTTTCTTCCTCGTTGTCCTCCGAACCCGATCTCGCCTACGAAGAAGGTGTCAGCCACTATGGAATACAGACTGCAAGCGGCCGCCGGAGCAACAGTCTGAGAGGGACAAGCAGTGTCCGGGGATACGATAGTCTTCATTCGCGAACGCAACCCCATGCCGAATCCAGTTCTCTTGCATACCGGACGAGAAAAGGCAGCAAGGGTAGCTCGTCGTCCAATTATGATTTTGGTCCATCCTTGTTGAGGAATCGTGCGGATTCAGGAAGCGATGCTCAGTCTGCGAGCATTGACTACGACGTGGGGTCCCCCTTTCCCCCATTTTCAGAAGATTATGATACCCTGCGTTATGATGACCTCGATGCCGCCCCCACCCCGAGTATTCCTGCGGGCCCCAGAAAGTACCATTCTCCTTCTCAATCCGAGTATCAGAACACGCTGAACGCTCAGTCCTCGATGACTCCGATAGCGTCTCGGAGGAGCAGTATCAAGTCACCACCTGACCAGGGGAAGAAAAAACACCATCCCGAGAATATCGGCACGGCGACAATTAGGAGACCAGTTGACTTGGAACTCGAACCTCCACCCCCCTTGGGAGACTCACTGGACCCGCCTGCTCCAAGCCCAACCATTTCATATAACAAACCCAGCTTTCCCCCTCCGCCTGACCCAAACCCGCCGAAGGAGCGTCCAGGATTCTTCCGGAGGGTATTTGGCTCGAAGAACTCCGCTCCTAACGCGCCTGATGACGTATCGTATCTGTCGCACCATGATAATGATTTCCCCAAGGTCGGGAGACAACCATCAAAGATCGATGTGCCTGGTAACAACACTTCCGTCCGCAGCGAGGGCCGCCAAGTGGTGAATAAAAAATCTTCCTTCTTTCGACGGCGAAAGAAGTCCGTCGTCGACAGCGTTCCGCCCCCTATCTCCATTCCTCAGCACCTGGCCCCCAAGGCACTGGATTTCATGAAGCCGGAACCAAGCCCCGTAAGCAGTTTGAGACAAGTTATGAACCCGTATATCTCGGAGGGCGTTCCTGCGCCGAATCGTTCATCAAGAGAATACCATGGCCGGGAAATCAGCGCAGAGGATGCCGATCACGCCAAATCTGCATCCCTTGCATCCCAGAAGAAGAGGGGAAGCTCTGTTCCTCCGTCGAGTGGGTCGAGGTCCAAGTATCCTGGTGCATACCCCCCTGTCCCATCAGGCGGTCTGGATACATCGTTCTTGGCCAACAGTAGTGGAGATGAGGCATCGACAGCCAAATCCGTTGATATCGGCGTCACTTCACCCCTTTCATCACCGATTTCCAAGGACACGGATAGCGAGTCGCTCGGAAGTCCAACGCAGGGCAGGCTAGCACCACCGCTGCCGCAAATCTCGGTTCCTGGCACGACATTGTCCCCTGTGGTTGAGGATTTCCCTCAGAAAACACCTGAAACGCCCGAAGCGCCCAATCCCGCCAAGATGCCAACTCCCGGAACGGATGGTGTCCTGTCGGAGACATCAAACTACTTTACTGCTGCTAGTACTCCGGTAATCCAGTCAGAGGAGCCCAAGTCCACTGAATCCTCCGAGACTAAGCAGGATGAAACTCCCAAGGATGGTGAGGGGAGTGGTCCCACCACCGCAGATCGCGAACAAGCCCAGAAACTGTTCGATAGCCAAGACGAAGTGGTTGGAAACGATCCAGCTGCTGCTTGGCTAGGCGATCCTGACCGCGCAGTTATTCGAGAAGCATATATGGACCTGTTCGACTGGTCCAACATGCATATTCTGGCAGGCCTTCGTAGCTTGTGTAATCGACTCATTTTGAAGGGAGAGACACAGCAAATTGACCGGGTTCTGGACGCCTTTTCGACCCGATGGTGTCGGTGTAACCCAAGCCACGGGTTTAAAGCTGCAGGTTCGTTGTCCTTGATTTCCAAAACGTTACTGTCGTATCTAACTTGTTGTTTTAGATGTGGTACATACGATCTGTTACTCTCTTCTTCTATTGAACACCGACCTCCACCTTGCAGATATCGACCAGAAAATGACCAAGACTCAATTCGTGCGCAATACCTTGCCTACGATAGAACGCGTTGCGATCGACACGGCACCTCGCGACTTTGAGAATCAAGCATCGTCTTCGTCCGGGGCAGATGGCCCTTCAAAACTTGTGAACCGACTTTCTCGGGCGGACCTCTCTGGGAAAACATCAATGGCGGATTTTGAAAATGGCGCTGGTCCGTTGGTGAATCAACCATTCCACGGAACCATGCGAGCGTGGGAGCAACAAGTTGAGACCGTTCTCAGAGAATTTTACTCCTCGATTCAAAAGGAAAGGCTTCCACTACATGGTGCTCAGCCGGAGAGAGATACACCCCAAGCGTCGTCCAACAATCTCCTCAGTGCAAATCAGAACCCTAGCCTCCGTCGGAGTCCCAGTACAGTGAGCAAGAGCGGCTCCGATATCTATCCCCGTGGCCGCTCTGCCGATTCCCGCTATGGAACTGCGCGGTGGTCTTCCAAGCCTCGCTCGCGCGCGAGATTATATCCCCCGTCGGCAATGGGATCCAGTCGGACCAGCCTTGATGACCAGTCTTCGCTCTGGAGTCCGTCTGCTTCCAGCACGTGGAGCAAGTATTCTCTGGGTAAATTCACGTCTGTCTCGGTCGACTCGTTCGGATCGGACTTCCCGCGGGGCGAATACCAACAGTCCATCGGGTTTGCGAACGCGTTGAGTCAAGCCATCATCCGCGAAGATGGGGCCTCAATCGCCAGCACTGAGGACCCGGATGCCACTCCTCTTCTGGAAGACGAGACCCTTCAACTTGCAGGTGCTCCATGGGCCAAGGAAGGCAGCCTTAAGCATAAGCATCACCTCGATTCCGTCGACAAGCGGGCCAAGGACCGGAACTGGAACGATTGCTTTGCGGTCATCCAGCAAGGCTGGATGCGACTGTTTTCTTTCAACCCGGCGACAAAACCTGGCAAGCAACAAAAGGCCAAGCAGCGTCAAGCTGGCAGCGTGGTTGTTGGTGGAGGAAACTGGCTGTCTAACGCCGAAGAAGTCTGGAAATTCACACTACGCCAGACTATTGCCAGTCAATTGCCGCCGCCAGGTTATTCCAAATCCCGACCCCATGTCTGGGCCCTGAGTCTGCCCACAGGGGCTGTCCATCTCTTCCAGGCTGGTACACCGGAAATTGTGCGCGAGTTTGTCTCAACGGCCAACTACTGGAGTGCCCGATTGTCAAAGCAACCTCTGGTCGGAGGCATCAGCAATATCGAGTACGGATGGAGCGACGCCGTCATCAACAGTGCTTTGATCCACGCCGATAGCAATAACACTAATAGTCCTAATCATAATACTAATGGCAAATCAACCCCTACCGGGACGCGAACCAGCATTCAAAGCTCGATCCGGAGCTCCATGGATCAGCAGGGTGTGCGACCGAAACTACCCGCCGACCGGGTTAACATCAGCGATTGGACGCCGCCTCAGCAGAGTATGGCAGCATCGAACTTGCCCGAAGAGGATCAACTCAAGGCCTTGCAGGCCTACGTCAAGAACACCGAAGAAGAGTTCCAGCGACACAATGAACGCCGGGCCGCCATGATCCTCGCATTCTCGCCGCGGCATCCTAACGCTTCCAAGGCGATGGCGAACTTTGAGCGGAAATCGTCGTATCTCCTGCGGGAGATTGTCAAGTTCCGCACGTACATCGATTCGCTACATGGTGCTCTAGAACAGAAGAAGCGAATCTACCCTCCTAGCGAGGAGAACAATCCGACTGCTGATGACGATTCCAAGGCTGGTGATGGGCAGGAAACTCCGACGAAGGTGTCGATCGAGACTGCGCAGCCGGCATGATCTTCTGTCCCTTATCTATTTTTTTTGCTTTTTTTTTTTTTTTTTATATAATTGTATAGCGTATGGTATGACGAGGAGAGAAAAGCACATGCAGGATATAGCGGCCAGTTTCTTTCTTTTTTTTTTTTTTTTTTTTTTTTTTTTTTTTTTTTCTTATTTTCGGACGGTACAGTTGATGAGATTTATGCTATGGATACCATGATTTTTGCTTTTTTTTTGCGCTTCTCTTGTGGATACATTTATTAATTGCTTGATATATATGGAGCATTTGTGATACATTCAAGTTCACTTCGTATCAATATCTACAATTTCCCTTTTCGGCTTAGCGGTACCTGATCAGTAGAAATAAGCTGCCCACGCTAATATCTTGGCACTCTTGGCATGATATTCTCGCTCTTCTTGAAGTTCTTGTTTTTAGTCATTGATTTTTCTTAGTTAATTGTCCAAGAGGGATAACCTCTTAATGGGAGAGTGAATTCGTAGAATGGAGTTGTCTACAAAAACCTGTTATCTGCTAATTCTGATTGATCTAATAACCGGACTGCATTTTTTGCTGCTGCCTTCACAGGGCTGAATGTGGAAACATGACGTGAAAGTGGTCAGATAGATATTGCCGTGTAGTACTAGTACTCCGTACAAAACAAGTTAGCAGGAACAATTGAAAATGGAAGAAGAATAATGCTGAATCTCCGAGGAGAAACCAGTTTGCCTCGGAGACCGAGTAGCCCAATACTATGCAGAAAATACTATGCAGGAATGACGTCAAGCTTGTTTATACGGTCATACTAGTACCTACCTTTGATATTTCTCGACCACTACTCCGGAGTACAACTACATAATGTCCCAATAGTAATACCAACACCAGCAGCCATGGCGGCCTCTCTGGCAGCAGTCCTATCCGTTCTGAATCTCCCACTTCTGGCGGTATTCTACCTCCCGCCTCAGCTTCGCCAGGAACGAGACTGGTCATACCGGCAAGCATTGATGAACAAACTACTCAAATCGTTTTTGCGCAATTATACAGCAGCTCACGTGAAACAACCGCTTTCGCTCAAGCCGCGCTTCGAAGGAGATCGTTTTGCCGTGATCGAGCCTGCGAGTCCTGAGTTGTACACTGGCGTTGCTGAGGACAAGGATATCAAGCCGGAGAGGATCGGGGGGACTTGGTATCCGGTACCTTATGAAACAAACGACCCTCTGGCCGACGATCAACACGTTGTACTGCATCTGCATGGCGGTTCTTATGTGTTAGGGGACGGCCGGACCGCATCCTGCCAATCGCTCGTCAACACCTTACTCTCGAACACTCCGGCGAAATATGTTTTCAGTCTCCAGTACCGACTCGCTTGCAATCCTAACGCACGCTTCCCAGCACAACTCCAAGATCTCATCACCGCATACTCCTACCTACTCCACACCTTACACATTCCACCCTCACGCATCGTCATCAGCGGGGATAGTTCCGGAGCTCATCTTACTATCGCCTTCCTCCGTTACATAGTCGACCATCCATCCATTCTCCCCGCACCGAAATGCAGCTGGCTGTTTTCTCCTTGGTGCGATATTCCCGAAGCCACTGATACCAAAGTCTGGAGGAAGAGCCCGAATTACCAAACGGAGTACATCCCCGCGACATTTCCGGAATGGGGGGCAAGTCAGTTCCTGAAGGATGTTGAGATTACAGAGCATGTCGAGCGATATGTGGCTCCGTTATGGCATCCATTCACCGTCCCCTCGCCGGTGCTGGTTATTACAGGGGGTCGCGAGGTCCTGGCCCCGGAGCACATAAAGATGGCACAGAGCCTTCAGAATATGACGAAGGATGATAACTCTCGAGTTGAATTGTTTGTGGAGAACAAAGTACCTCATGATGTCTTAATGGTTGGGTGGATTCTGGGGTTCCGGGAGGAGGCCAAACGATGTGCTAGCAGGGCTGGTGAGTTTGTTGGTCAGGCACAAACTATACCGGAGAAAGATCAATCTGATCAGTCGACTCATGTGCCTGGGTATTCCTTGGGCGAGATCAATCAGCGTTGATGGCCAAGTTGACACTCGACTTTGTTGGAATGTTTAGCAGACAGACAGACACCCTTGTGTTGTCTTTAATAAAAGCAGTTCATAGCCAAGATCACAGCAAATTGTACATACCACTTTCTATGCATGTATTGATTTCATATCTTCATAAAAACGGAGCGTAGAGTAATGTGTACTCCGTACTATACTAAGCCATTAGTTTTGGTGGTCCGCAGGAAAAGCGCTGATTGGCTGGAAGTGTCTGAGGCTCTTCCCTTCTCCTTGCTTGAATTTCCATCAGTTTCATGAGGGGTGTCACAGTCATATTTCATGCCACCTGCCTTTGAGGTGAGTATCTGTTGAACCCTCCATAAGGCATAGAGTATTCAAGCGAACGGCTCGGTGGAGTGTCCCCATGTCAACGGCCAGACTCCGCACTGTCCAACTCCCCGAACCTTGACCGTCTCAACGCGATCATCTGCGCGCTCCCACGGCGCATTTTCGAGCAGTTTTGACCTCGAAGAACCATATCGCTCGCCTGTAGAGGCGGTTACTCTGCGACGACTTTTCGCTCATGGTGGTGGACGACCACCATTATCTGCGGGGAGATCAGTTACCCACCGAGGATAATAACAAAAACAATAATAATCACAGCGACGACGGCGACGAGAACCCCCACGACACCGCTTTCATGATGGACGAGAATAGCGGTATGACCGAGAAGGATATCGAGCATCACACGCAGTACGAACAAGGAACAGACAGAAGGGAAGAGTACGAACAGGGGCGACAAGAACAAGGACAAGGGACACACACCAACCCCTCAATAACAGGCTCAGAGAACCAAAATGACCACGACGATTCGTTTCTCCCTCCTCCGCTACCCGATCACGACGACAGCAGCCTTCTGCTCCTATCCAGCGAGGACGATGGCGACCACGAACGCGGCGACAACCAGACCTTTCTCGAGGAGAAGGAGATGTGGAGGAAACTAATGGACATGGAGTCTAGTTTCCTTCCAGAACCATCTACGATTGACATGAATGCTGCCACCAATGAGGATGATACATACTTGGTTGGGGCCCCGGAGAAATATGCTAATGCACCACCGCCCAATCCTACCCAACCGGAGGACCAGTCTCAGCTATCCATAGGGGATGAGACAGGCCATGACCTCACGTCTATCCAGGAAGATGATACGCCCGCTCCACAAACTCCGCGTCAGAGTGCAGGAGAGGGAAATACGACGATCGACATGGAGACTACTACGCCCGCTGGTCATCCTCCGGAGCGACAGCATGAAGACGAAACTACCATACTTGAAAATCCCTTTTCGTCACCAGCCGCTCAGGTCGCAGCGAGAAACGAGAACCGGAATCTGTCGGGATCAGTATTAGAGAATACCGGAGTTGGTCAAAAATACCAGGACGGGGGAAACCCATCAGCTGACAGGTCGGTTACACCACAGTCGCGACGGTCCTCGCAACAGATGCGAACTAGTTCCCAAAGCGGCAAGTCCAAAATATTTCACGACAGTAGTGACGGAGAGATGGCTCCCCGTGCTACTGTTCGAAGGGGAAATAGGCCAAAGTATCTGAACAGTCGCCAATCGGCCCAACGGCTATCCTACTCTTCTATTGCGACGACCAACACCGAAGCGACCCATAGCGATGCGACTCTGGGTGCTGATTATGCGCTTCAATCAGGAGGCGCGGCTCCGGAGAGTGCGAGTGACGCTCAACCCGGGCAGCATGGCAACCTAGCGCGTTCTGTTAGCCTGGGGAGCGTGGCATCGGGCATCTCAGGGTACAGCGATGAGAACCCGCTTGACAAGAGTAATAAAAATCCCGCAGGAGCCTCTGATAGTGGTCTGCATACTCTGAGCGAGGAGGAAGGTCATACTTCGCAGTCCCGGCCGAGCTCCCGGCCAGCCCCAGGGTCACCTCAGCAAGAAACATCCACAGAAGATATCGAGCCGATGACACCAAGGGCGAAGCCATCAGAACACAGCCTCCCTACAGACACCGCCATTACGGAACGCATCAAGGACATACAGGTTCCCAGTGCCTTTTCCAGACAGTTCCGGGAGGAACTTGGCCACCATTCTTTGTCTCCGGAGAGGCGTACAGGGCCAACTTCCACTTCAGCATTTGGAAGAAGTGGTCGGAGCATGACGCTCAAAGAGCAGAGCAGCACGATTGATCGTCTGTCAAAGGAGAACTTTGATCTGAAGATGAGGATCCACTTCCTCAACGAGGCTTTGGATAAACGCTCAGAGGAGGGTATCAAGGAAATGATATCAGAGAATGTGGAGTTGAAGTCGGATAAGTTGAAGATACAAAAGGACAACCAAGGTCTCAAGAGGAAGGTTCGTGATTTGGAGAAGCAAATCAAGGATCAGCAATCAGACAAGGAGTCCATGGTGAATCACGATCCTGAAGGCTCGGATGATGAGCAACGTGATTCGATGCAAAATGAAGAGATACTTTATCTACAAGAAAGGATGGAGACTTATGAACTTGAGATTGAACGTCTTCGCTCAGAAAGCATCGCGAGGGAGTCTGAGAAGAGAAGACTTGCTGAGATGGTCAAATCGCTCAGCAATGGTAGGCCCATTGGCTCTGATGTTGGGTCGAGGGAGGAGAGGGTAAGTGTACCGATTTCTTGTCTATTCTAGACGCATGCTAATGCTCTTTAGGATATGTGGAAGGATATGCTTGACGCGGAGACCGCCGCACGTGAGCAAGCGGAAGAAGAAAACAAGGTTCTCCGCGATGAGACGCTGCGCCTGAGAAGTGAGATGGAGTTTGCACTGGGCAGTGCCAGGTCAGGCCAGCGTGACCCAACGCTCGCAGGGGTTTCCTATTACTCAAGCACGACAGACCGGGAGTTCAACCGCAACTCGAGCGGCGGTACTCTTTTGATAGAGCTGGAGCTCCTGAAGCAAGAAAACGCCGAATTAAGAAAGGAAGTCAGTGCGCAGACATCCATGCTCACGTCTCGGAACCGAGAAAAGGAGCGTCTGTACCAGGAGATTGAGGAGCTGAAGCTTGGACAACGCCGTGAGGGGAGTCGGTCGATTGCTGGGGACAGCATCTTTGACCGCTCGGCTTCGCGTGCACATGGAAGGTCTTCTTCGCGGACCAGTGAAATGTCACCGGAAGATGAAGCTGATCGGGAGGAACTCGAGCTTCGCAATGGACAACTGCGTGATCAGGTTTCCACGCTGAAACTGGAGAACCAAACAACCCGAGACCAGCTGGAAGAATACACCCAAGAACTCGAAGCACTTGACAAGGCCTACCAGGCCGATGTCGAGCAGGCAGAAGAGGAAATCCAGAACCTTCAACAGGAGCGCGACCAAGCCCTGCAAATGGCCGAGGAACGCGACGCCGCTTTCCAGGACCTCAGAGCGGAAGCTCAAGAAGAACTCGATGCTCTCGCGGGAGAGCTGGAGCAGAAGGTAGAAGAATGCCAGCGCTTAAACGAGGAGGTTCGGAGCCAGGATGAGAGCCTTCAAGTATTGCAAGCGGAGATGCGTTCGGCCGGCGAGGGCATTATTCGTCTCGAGGAAGATGCGCAGAACAACTTGGAGCGGTACAAGGCTGTTCAGCAAGAACTTGAAGACTCAAATCGGGAGATGGAGCAGTTGGAGCAGAGTCTCTACGAGGCAAACACCAAGGTCCAGCGACTTACTGTGCAGATCGAATCGAGCCACAATGAAATTGCCTTCCTGCGCGAAGAGCAAGATGGTGATAAGATCAAGATTGGTGATCTCGAGTCAGACCTGAAGACTTACGAGATCAACCTTGGTAGCGAAAGAGACAAGACCAGAGATCTGGAAGCTCGCCTGGCGGAAGAGAGACACCAGCGAGAGGTTGTTGGAGGTAAAGAGAAGCAGGAAGTCCAGCGGATCGTGAACGAGTTGAACCGCGAGGCGTCCTCTGCCAAGGATGAGTTGCGAAGACTCAGGAAGGCCCTATCTGCCCAAGAAGTCGAGACTGCTACCTGGCGGGAGCGACTCTTGGATCTGGAGAACAACCTCCGCGAGACGCTTGGTGATTTGACTGGCAGTCGCTCTAGTCTAATTACAAACATTGTCAAGCTGCAGAAGGAGCTCGAGTCGACAGCATTGGAACTCGAGAGCACTCGTTCCAAGCTGGACGAAAAGGAGTCGCTCTTGCGGAACCGCGATGCCCTTCTCGAGAGTCATGGTCTCGAATCGCGCAAGCTGTCTGAACTTCTGGACCGCGAGCGCCATGCCCGCCGAGCAGACAAGCAATCGTTCGAACAGGCACTCAAGTCACACCACCAGACCTCCCGCAGCATCACGCAGAGCAATTCGCGCATCACTGAGCTCGAACAAGCGCGCAGTAAAGACCACAAACGCTTCACGGGTCTAGAGCAGCAATTCAAAGATCAGCTCAGTGAACGGAATGCCATGCTCCTCACCATCTGGAAACGTCTTTCAGCCATGTGCGGTCCAGACTGGGCACACTCCAACAGCCTCATCAACGGCAACCTGCCCAGCCAAGAGGTCATCGGCAACATCCTCTTTTGGCCTGGATTCAGCCGCAATCTCATGCTCGCTGTTAAGACGATGGAAGCGGTGATTGGGGGATTCAAGAACCGAATCAAGGGCGTCGAGCGGGATCTGACCAAGCAGTACCAGACCCTGGAACACACATTCAGCTTACGGGTGAAGAAGCTCGATCGTCTCGAGGAAGGAATCATGAACATACGCGCCCAGCAACATAGCAAGAACCAATCCGGGACGTCGCCAGAGATAGCCAAACTGCGTGGCGAGAACCGGTTGCTAAAGGCAGAACTCAACCTGATCCAATCGCATTCCCGCAGTCGCGGACCCGTCACAGGATCCTCAGCACAGCCTACGTCGCCAACACGCGAGAGCAGCAACGGCGACCCTGCAGCTGACCTCCAAAGAGGCCTCGTGCGAAGCTCCACGACAACCGGCATCCCGCAACCATCCCACTTCTCCTCCGCAACAACCCTAGCCGAACAACAAGGCGTCCTAGTCCACGGCAACCACGCGCGCCACGGCTCCACAGACGCAGGCAACAGCGAGAAATGGATCCAACGTCTCCGTGAACTCGAAAAGCGGCTTAAAGCGGAACGCGAAGCTAGATTGCTAGACCGCGGCGGCGCACGGAAGAGACTCGAAGAGCGCGATGCGGAGAACCAACGACTCCGTGCACAGATTGAGAGGCAGCAGCGCGCTAGACGGAGTCTCGCTGTGGCGGATGAGCAGTATGCTGGGAGGATTCAGTCTGGTGATCAACATGATGATGATCATAGTTCGAGTGAGGGGACGGGGTTTTATGTTGATATTGAGGTTTAATCTTTGTTTCGGGTGTTATTTCTATATGCGTTTGTGCTTGTGTTTGTTACATATGCTATATACCCTTCCGGTTATGGTGTTTAGTTCTGATGATGGGTGACTTTATTTATTGCATAAGTTAGGTGTATATACATGCCTATATGAACTGGATGTCATCTTCATGATTCGTAGTTTTGTACTGCAGCTCAGTCACCTATGGTCAACAATCAAAGCGAAGGCTCACGCGACCAAAACTCATTCCGCACTTTCATGACTTTCAGCGAAAAGCTACTCCTCAACCATTCCTGAAGCCACGACGGGAACGATCGAATAAAAGTAGCAACCGAGCTAGACGCAGGTAAGATGATTGAGCCACTCTTTCTCTCGAGAATATGCTTGACCACGGCGTCAGACACTATCCCCGTATGTCCATAATAGGCTGATCGAACGAATCACCAGCCTCTGTGAGATTCCGAATGAGGGGCGTTTGGACCCATAATGGATTAACGATACTAGAGTGTAGAAGGCAAGTCAGATCTGATTTTCCGGGAATTGGCAGACAGATACTGTACCTCGTCCGAACTTTAGTCGCCCCATACTAATGCCGAACCTCCTGCGAAAGACCCCCATGAAAAGCCAACGCACTAGCCTTAGTACACGCCTAATCGACCATCTCACCAACAGTCCTAAAACTAGCCATGCTAGCCATTGTAACAACATGGCCGCGGTTCTGCTGCACCATGCTAGGAAGAAACTCCTTGACTGTTAGGAAATGGGCCAGGGTGTTGTTCACTTTGAAGGATTTCCAAATCATGGATTCTGGCTCATCGAGAATGATACCGTTGGTGAGGACGCCGGCATTGTTGACTAGGACGGTTGGATGGCCGTGCTTTGCCCTGATTTTCTCTGCGGCTGCTTTGATACTATCGGTGCTTGTAACGTTGGCTTCGTAGAAGTAGATATTTGGGGCTGAAGATGTCAGTCGAAATTCAATTTAAATACAGATCATAACAGCAGACACTTACCAAGGGTGGATTCAGGTTCCTTAATGTCAATGATCATTACTTTGACACCCCCCCCCCCTCCCTTCCTCTCCGATAGCTCCTCGACGATTTTCTTTCCAATACCGCTGCTTCCACCAGTTATGAGCACCAATTCTTGCTGGGAGTTCCATGGCTCTGCCGAATGCCAATTATTGAGAACGTAGTGAAACAATAAGGAGCTCGCCTTGTTGATAGCGTAGCACGCGAATAAGCCACCCAACAAGCCTTTTGCAGCTGGCGACGATTCAGCGGCCCTATAAAGTTGGGTCAAGTAGTGAGATTCGCTGCCCATTGGTGTAGGAAGGCCAACATAGAAAGAAAGCCCAGCATCATTTATACAACACCTCGGTAGTATTGGGTTGGCCTTTCCTGGCCATATTTTTCCATATTTTCCCTGTGATGAAAAGGGTAGTGATGCATGACCAACAACACTAACTTCTGCAGTGATATAATTACACATTCACACTGGGTCTCATTGCACCACTAACAAGAGCAATAGTAATGATAGTCTAGACTCAAACCCGTGGGCCTGTAGACTTCATGTTCTACAAGTTAGACTAGAACATTGATTGGATAAATAACCAGTCGCATACGTAAAAGTCAACAAATGCATTCTGCAAACCGACCACAAGATAATTAAGACTGCAGATATGCAGCATTCATGTAACAACTATGGCCAATGCGCATTTCTGCATCATATAGTACTAAAAAGCGGGAACCGAATAATGATATCACCTGCCAAAAGTACTGATTTCCTCACCGTTCGGATCATTCCGAGACTCTTCAGCTGTAGGTACGTCCCACGCTCACAAGGGGTTCATAGCTATATTCGTTCGCCAGGGCTGAATATCCCTCGGTACCCGGAGAACCTGCTGGTTCGTGAAGTGTGCATTCATATTGACTCGATCCTAATTGTACAATCATGCAAAAAGTATGTAAACATGTCTATATACGTTCATGTAATGTAATGTAACATACCTACCGCAGCGACACCTTCAGCGAGAAGTCCACAATAGACGTCCCCTGGTGAATCGAGCTCGTCGACAAAATATCAACATCTTCACAAGCAAATGAAGCCGCATTCGCCTCGGTCAACCCCCCACTAACCTCCACCAAAAACGCGTTCCTCTTCCCCTTGGCTGCCCACTCCTCCTTAAGCTGCTTCGCAGCAACCTTTACTCCATCCGCCGTGAAGTTATCCAACATGATGACATCCGCGCCGGCCTCAATTGCCGCATTCGCCTCCTCAAGATTCCTCACCTCGACCTCAACCTTCGTCGCAAACCCGCCAACGCTCTTAGCAGCCTGCACGGCCCTGGGAATCGCCGCCGCAATCGACTCCTCCCCAACAGCCCTGTTCCCTCCATCCGCCGCAGCAGAGTTATTCGCACAAGCCCATACATGATTATCCTTGAGCATAATCATATGACTCAAATCATGTCGGTGCGGATCCGCCCCTCCAACCAGAATACCATACTTCTCAACAACCCGGAACCCGGGCGTCGTCTTGCGGGTTCCCGCGAGGGTACCGGGCCAGCCGTGCGCGCGGAGGGCGGCGAGAAGGGAGGCGGATTTCGATGCGATGCCGGAGCAGCGGGCGAGGATGTTTAAGGCGACGCGCTCGCCGAGGAGGATTTTGCGGATTGGACCGCGGACGGTGGCGCAGTGGTGGGTTGGGTTGGGGTTGAGGGGGAGGCCTTCTTTGATGTGCCATTCCACACTACTTCTTATCAGCATACACATTCACAAATCTCATAGGGGAGGGTAACGTACGTGCACCCAAGCTGCGAAAACACCTCATCGACGAACGGAACACCAGCTACCACGCCCTACTCCTCTTAGTCCATCTCTATATCACTAAGGTAGAAGGTAGGTACCTCGCTTTTTCCCAGTAACCGCGCCTCACCCTCCGATTCACCAACGACAAAGCCACCATAGTCAAAGCTAGGGGTGTCCTCCTCGAGCCAAGCCGTGATCAGCGCCTTGTGATTATTCGGCAATAGGTGACGGAGGTCTCCGTATGGGGATGCGGACGTCATAGTGATAGTATGCGGTCTGTAGCGATCTAGTATATACTATTGTATTAGGTTGGATATGTACAATCCTGCACTATTCGTATTCGTATCCGTGATTCGTGAATATTATAGACAAGTCATAAATGTAAATGAATCCATTTGTATGCTGGAATGGAGGCAGCAGATGATTTTCACCCCGCGCGGGGCGAGGCCAGTCACGTGTAATATGTCACGTGACCTACAAATACGCGGAATTGCATTTAAACTCCGAGATCCGGAGATTATTGTTATCGCCGTTAAATACGTAAGTTACAATACCAAAAAAATACCGGTAACCACCGTTTCGGAGCGCTAGAAGCATTGCCGGATTCGAGAACATAATCCGGTCAGCTGAGATTGCGAGATTTATGAAAAGACGCAAAACGGCCCGAAAAGGTCTTCATTGTGGATCTGGTGGATATGGATATTCAAAATGAGTAAATATGAGTCAGGCGACCCTGAAAACAGGGCCCAACAACGAAGCAAATCATGCCTTCCACGCCTTATACACATTCTTACACCCAAACAACTGTCCCCGCTTCAGCACAACCATAGACCGCCATCCCGGCTCATTAACCGCGTTAACGAACCGGCTCGGCTCAATACAGAACCCTGCGCCCTCTCTGCGCGCCGGTGCCCCCTCCACCTGCGGTGTGTCGATGTATTTGCCCGTGTAGAGCTGGAAGGCTGGCTCGGTGCTGTGGACTTCGAGATGCAGCTTGGTGGTTGGGTGGTGGAACTGGGCGAGGCGTTTGAGGGGTTGAGTGCGCGTGTCGAGGGCGATCTTGGAGGGATCGCTTTCCATCACGAAGACGTCGTCGATGTGTGGTTCTGAGGGGCCGAGTCCGAAGGGACTGGTCACGTCTTTGTGGAATTTTGTGATTTCGCCTGTTGGGATGCTGGTGCCGTCGAGGGGGAGATAGTCGTTGGTGGCTAGCTGGGCTTGAGTGCCTTCTACGGTGGGGGCACCGGCGATGTTGAAGTAGCTATTGTATGTTAGTCTGTAAGCCTGTAGGAAGATTGAAAGGGTGTGTACCTATGGTTGGTAAGGTTGACCACCGTCTCCTCACACTCATCACCCACGAATTCAATCTCATACTCGGCCGTCAACACCGTCTTCGGATTCGCCCCATTCACATCCTCCTTCCCAGCCGCATACCACACCCTCAACTCCACAGTCCCAGGGTAACCCTCCTCCCCATCACGACTCAGATACTTGAACAACAACGCATCCTTTCCATCCCTCTTCACCGTATGCGGTCCATCAAAAACCCTCTGTCCCCACCCCTTCTCACCTCCATGGATCGAATTGTGCCCATTGTTCTTGGGGAGTGAGTAATCGCGGCCATTGAGGTTATGAATAACAGCGCCTTTGATGCGGTTCGCGACGCGGCCGATGGTGGCGCCGAAATGCGGCGTGTTGTATTTGTCGTATTGCTCTTGGGTGCTGAAGCCGAGGACGATGTTTTGGTCCGCGATGCGGAATTCTTGGATGATGGCTCCCAATGGGAGGAAGCTGAAAGCGGCTTCTTGGGACATTTTTGTTGGCGCTGAGAGATAGATGAGCAGAGAAGGGAGGTGTTTGTGTGGTAGGTATTAAAATAATGGAGCTATCGCGGGGCATGACGTCCAGTGAGACAACCCCGCAAAACATCCCCGGAATCCACCGACAACATTACTACATAGTACAAAAAGCAGTCCCACAACCAATATTTTTCAATATTTGAATCAAAATCTAATGATTCCGCAATATCCAACAATTGCATTGACGGAAGTTCATCTGGCACATATTCATTTGGTCCTGACGATAGTGGTTCACCCTCCTCGAGCCTCCCATTGACCCAGCAATTGCTCCAGTTGCAGGAGGTCAGCGCGACGAAAAGAAGCAGGGGCGCTGCCTGCGGATGTCGTTTGATTGAGTATACCGTGTTATGCGCCTGAGAATGTGGATTCGTGGTTTGCGTTTGCTAGAACAACTACGACAATCGTTAAGAAGGCGCATGCTCGAGGTCGAAGGGGGAGGGAATGTCCTATGGCCCGTGAGCTTTCACTTATTTATGAATATTTGATGAAGGGATTACGAAGAAGATTCTGTTGATGAAGGCAGAAGGAATCCGCAGCATTGTGCATGCTGAATCGGCCGCGGTCTGGATAAGAGTCCGGGTTGGTTTTGGCACGGCTGCTCTTCTTCAGAGCTGGATCGTAGTAGCCCTTCGAGCGGTGGTATAAATGATGTACTGGCTATCATAAGTCAAATAGCCCTAACCTGTAGAGGATCAGACGTATATAGTCTGTTGCGGACAAGGAATCCGTCTCTGCACGGCTTTGGCCGCTGTAACTTATTGAGGACTGAGCGATTATAGTATCCGCAATTATAATGAAGTCTCAAGTATAAAACCCAGTCATATCTTGGATGTACTTGAACACATCCACGGCATTGTCTTCATCCCCAGAATCTGGTAATTGACCGACATTACCCTCCCACCAAAGGTATCACTATAGATCGCCAGACGCCACCGGCTCCAGATGGGACCTGTGTTGATACCAGTCGGATTATCCATCCAGGTAGGATTCTACTACATTCCTATATGCTCGATATCAAAATATGCAGACTACGTGGATAAAGAATATCAACGATTGGCAGACATGGCCCGCGAGATAATCAAAAATGACCCTATCTCCAGCCCTACTATCATGAAAAAAGGGTTTACCTTTTGCACGGATGGAAAAGAATGCCCCATAGAGACATTGTGGCGGCAGATGCTTGACCCGATCAGAGAGACTCAACCCGCATCGCTGTTGAATCAGCTTGATACCCTTGAAGAGGTTTTCCATCATCTGCATGGCAACGACGAGCTGATCCTTTTTTACCAACTAGATCGTGAATGACGCTGGAACAAAAGATACACCAGCGCTGTGCGACTGTCGACGCAGAGAATATGGCCCGGGTGTACTTTGAGCGTGCTCGTTCCAAGCCCGATATCAGCCTCTTGGGAACACCCGTTCAGCGTCTCCCATACGACGATGATAAGAATGTCGAAGGGGTAATTCTAGAAGCGGATACGCCGAGAAAACCATCATCGCCACCGGAACCTGGCCAAGTCGTCTCGTAAACCTAACCGGAGTCATGGAAGCCAACGCCGTGGCCATTGGGTACATAGAATTAACCGATACAGAGTACGAAAGGTACCGGGATATCGCCTGCAATACCAACCTCAGCACGGGTTTGAATATCTCCGCCCCGCTACGAGAACTCCTCAAAGTCCTGAAACGGTCGACGGGCTGCGGAATACGGTAGACATGCGCGCAGGCCTACCGCACATCATATCCCATTACAGCCCTAGATGATCCTCATCAGAGCATGCCGGTTGATATCGAAGCTGCGATTCGTGAAGAGCTGCGTGAGATATTTCCCACCGTGGCTGATCGACCGCCTGCCAAAACCTAGATCTGCTGGTACGTAGCACCTCGTCTATATTGTCTTGGCCATCGAATGAAGAACATTGACTCGCAGGGCCCGAACAAACAACCACCAGCGACTTCCTAATCTGCCCACACCCCCGATTCAACAACCTCCACCTCGCCACCCCTTCACGGCTGGAACCTCCCTCTACTGGGCGAATTTGTCATTCAATCTATAACCGGCACGTACTCGCACAGAAGTTGTCATGGGAGTCAAAGAAGGGTGATATCGGGCCGTACAGATTCATGGTTCAGGGCGAGGCTCGGGAGATCAGTTCGGAGCAGTTCAGGGCATACAGTACTCCGTTGGATATCTATGATTCATCGTAGGGTCAGTCACCTGACGTGCATGTTCCAAGGGGGAAAGTACCGAATGCGGCGAACCGGGAGTCGGGTTGGGTCAGGGACCAGACCAGATCAGGTCCAGACTAGTAATGACATTTGTAGCATGTCAGACTGAGATAAGTCTAGACCTGCATGTTAAATGTCAACAGATCACGATAATAATCATACTCTGAATACCATACCAACTCAATCGCAACACACAAAGAACCTACATGGATCCAACACTACGCACTACACACTACTGTACTTGTACAAGCACAATGGTTACCCTGCACTGATTATGAACTACTCAGGAGTATGCTAGCAAGCGAAAAGCCCACGTGCTAACCCAAAGGGTAAAATCCGGAAACCGGACCCCAAACAAGGACACAAGTTCCGACGGAACACAGAGCAACCGCTGCCGAGGAAGTTATGTAATCGGAGTACGGATCACACTTGTAATATTACATCCAGCTGGTCGGCACTTCGGGCCGTTTGACAGTTGTGGGACTGCATACTTTACATTATGTATGTACTATGTACAGCGTATGAGTACGAGTATTCCGAAGATCACTTATCGAACTTGTTCTTTATTCTGTGTGTGATATTGGGATGATCAGCAATGCAATTGGACCCCGATCTGTATAGTTCGCTAGGACTACTATGTTCTTTGTACTCTACATAGTCACAAGGTCATGGACACGGAGATAAAGAGGCGTTCTCCGTCATGCTGACTCTACCGTTCCTGGCCTCGGTTCGGCGTTCGGCCACTTATTGCCCCGACTCTAGGACAAAAAACTCTCCGTCAAAATAATTCATGTTGCCGGAAACGGAAACGATGTTACACTCTGTAGACCTAGAACAAAGCAATCCCTCTGATGGCTGAGTATAGGTAAATGTTGTAACAGTGACATTTCAATAAAAGGGGAACTATCGAAAAGAAAACCAGTTTCCAAGACAAGACAAGAAGACAAGACTGACGCCTAGAGTGTTTGAACCCGTTTTGAATCCCAACTCCAGACACCGGACCAATAGGCAGACAAAATAACCGAATCAAACTCTGTACATTGAATCAAAGGCCCTCCCGGTAAATCAAAGCAGTAAAAAAGAAGAGAAAAAAGAAATAATCATGTATAGTATACATGCGTCACGTCGTTATCAAAATAATAGAGGTAATATCTCACCGGGAGGCGATGGTTTTCTTTTTTATATTTCTTTCTTTTATGGCGTTTTCAAATCGATGTAATCTCCGTCGGGTTGGGATTCAAAAATTGATTGAAATCTTCGTAATCGTTCTTCGTATTATCCAACCCGATGCAATTCATCGGGATCTGACGATTGAACATGGGCGAGGACATCGGGTCATCAAACGACATATTCGTATAATCGGCAGACCCTAACAGATCCATCTCATCGAATGCACCGAACCCATTATTGCTAGGCCATGGCTGAGGTCCCTGCAATGCAATGGGGTTGACCACACCCTGCATTGACATCTGCGCCGCGTACGCGGGATTATTCGGTGCCATCGACGACTGCATCTGCTGATGTTGCGGTTGCTGCTGCGGCTCTTGCTTGATCATAGGAGTAGGCTGTGCCGTGCGCGAAGATGACGGGCTGAAGCTTGGCGGCGTGGGAGGCAGTTGCTGTTGGGGCGGTGCAGCAGAGGCAGCACCAAAGACATCGGAGGGGAAACGAGACGAGACCACGGGGGACTGAGCGGCACTCTCCGAGCTGGCGTCGGAGGAATCCTGGCGCTGCATGGCGTTGCGTCTCCACAGTTCTTGCTGCATGATTTCGGTGTTTTCCTCGAAGCGTTCGCCCTTGGTGTGGTCCAGAGCACCTAACCGGGTAAGTAGATCGTGGGTAAGCGGGTGGCCGTTGGCTTCGCATAGTAGTGGTTCTCCGGGCCAGCCTTCGCCTTCGCTAGAACGACGGTACATTTCTTGCAGGCCGAGGACGAGCCATGTTTGTTGTTGTTCGAGCATCTCAACGTATCTATCAATTAATATATGGTTAGCCAATTGAACCCTTCCTGTAAATTGCGCAAAGACCAGCTAGGTGCGCTCACCCCTTGGGGTACACTTTGTCATGGGCCTTCTTTCGCTCGCCAAAGACGCAGATGGCATTGTCTGCCCTACATCGACCACACGGACTGCCGCCGTCACACTGTAGGGGTCAGTGCATCAGAGACTGATGCTGTTGTAATTCCTGTTAATTTGAATTGCTTACCTTGGACTTTTTTAATCTACAGCGATCACAGGCCTTGCAGACCCTCTTGCGAACATTGTCGGAATGCGAGTGGTCTGATGTTGGTGTTGACTGGCGGGCTGTCATTGTGTATATTTTATTATGTTGTATTCCCTCTTTTATCCTCTTGTCAATGGCAGTTTGAGTAGTATAGAAGATCGGCAATTGGTAATGATAACAATGATATCAAGGCGATGGATGAGTTATAGAGAGCATCGATGGTATCAGAGTAACAAGCAAATGATTAATGAATGACCGGTAGTCAAGGTGAACAGTAGTATAGAAAGAGAGAGAGAGAGAGAGAGAGAGAGAGAGAGAGCAAAGGAAGTGAGAGAGAAGTATGTATACAAAGTAGTTCAGCCGGGGACTGCTCGTTTTAAAGAAACACAGGCACTGAGACACATAGCTGGAACTGGGGTTCTTATTTAATAAAAATAAAATTTCCTGAATTTTCTTCATCCTTTGATTCTAATTAGTGATTAGATTATGATTATGGAATCCATTTTCTCTCCCTGGAAGGTTGCCAAACCTGCTACTAGGACTAGTAAACTGTCGGTCCACCCAGTACCGTACGGTAAGTAATGGTACCGTCGCATAACACGGAGTCTTTGCTCGGGAAGTCGGACCTTGGATCGGATTTTGGCGGTCCCACAGATGGATTATCAATGCACATTTCTATCTTCTATGCTCTTTATATCCGTATAGCCGTATATCCATCCTGTTCTTTTTTTTCTCTCGAAAAGCAACTGTTACCCCATAGAGTACCTGTAAGCTTATATCAGGTTATATCAACACTATATACGGAGTACATACTCTTAGTCTAAACTTGACAAACTCATGAGATCAGCACATCGCAGTCCAGACGTCATAAGACCAAGCCTTGGCTCAGTACCGTATTTGTAATACAATTCAATGGATACAGACGTCTCCGAGACCCGCTTATGCATAATTTGTGTGCACAACTGGTTTATGCTCGGCCATCGCTCGGCAAACCGCTGCCGTTTTCCTTTCTTTGACCATATCCCTCGAGCGATTTGTTCAGGTATCAATATTTCCCTCTATGGCTATACGGAGTACTCTTCTTCGAGTCAAGAACAACCACTGTGAAGGAACGACACTGTAAGTTACTCTGGATGAGTTCATTGTATCTCACACCATGACAGCAGTCCATGACGTTACCACATAGTCCACCATACACCAACTCATACAGACACATACAGATAGACATATTATATTCGATTGAAAACAGATGCTGGGCGATGAATTGACTTCACTCTTGCGCCAACTCTACCCTAAACGAACGCCAGAACCATGTCTTACTCATTGGCTGATCCCCGCGGGGACTAGCACTGGAATCCCGATCGATGATCCGAACGCCGTTCATAGCACGGAGATATTGCTTGAACTTGGTTTGCCAAAGTCAAAGTATGGGCGTTGAACTCAATTAAGAACGAAACACAACAAAAAGCTGCTAGCACCCTGGGTGCACAGAGTTTTTTTTTTTTTTTTTTTTTTCTTCATCCTGACACCACTGCTTATCTCGAGTCGTCGCGTCATGGCGGTCAATCTGGGTCGGTTTCTTTGCAACATAAAAGGCGGAACTTCCTTCCGGTATTTATGTCTAATGCTGATCAGGCTATGACAGCTCGCTAAGGTTGTGTATATCAAGGAGATGACCGGTTGACTGACATCTCAAGCAATAACAATCGATGACCTGCCCATTGATAATGCTATGCTATTTCCGATATACATGTCCGAGTACGCCATTGCGCCATTCATTGCATCTGCTGAATATCATAAAGCAAAAAGGGTATATCAAACTGAACGAAGGAGAGGAGAAACCAAATCAACAACACAACATCTGTTTCCATACGCTTTTCGGTCTTGTTTTGTCTTTTTTCTTGCCAAATCCCATGAATCCACCTTGATTTTTGGTATTGTCGTTGTCCTTCTTTGGCGGGATGGGTGCAAGTTTTAAACCCCTTGCTGGGTTGGTCTTGGAGTAATGTTTTTGACGGGCTTCGACTGCACGACGGACCAGGACTATATTATCGTCAGATGAAGATCAACATTCGGTCATGCAGTATACTCACGAGCAAAGGTTTCCTCAATGTTGACCATCTCCCTAGCGCTCGTCTCTATGAACCCGCAGCCATGCTTGCGCGCATACTCCAGCCCTTCTTTTGACCCAATGACTCGTTTATCTTTCAGGTCACACTTGTTACCCGCCAACATGATGATTGGGGGCGGCATCCCGACATCAACACCGTGAGCACTGGCACCCAACTCCTTCCGCAGACGATAGTTATCCTCTTCCCGCTGATCTGATTCCATGTGGATCATTTCCATAAAGTAGTCCAATGCGCTCAAACTCAGTTCGTTTGTGACATCGTAGACGAGCAGGAAGGCGTCCGATTTGAGGTTGGATGCGGCCCATAACCCACGGTATTCCTCTTGGCCGGCGGTGTCGGTTATGCAGAGAAAGTAAGGGCGGCCATCGATAGTACGTGTTACGGAATACGAGTCCTCTGCACCTCACGTTAGGGATGAGCTCTGGTAAAGTAAACGGGGATTGAATAGGTGATTACCAATTGTAGGGTCATACCTGATCTCGTCAGTTTGTTGTTGTAGTAGTAAAGGGTTGTTTCCAAAGCAACTCACTCATGCACCCACTGGCTGCGTACCAGTCGCAGAGTCATGGAAGATTTTCCTATCCGTCCTCGATTAGCACCCTTGGATCTCTCTCCCGGTATTTTAATTAAAGGCATACCGCATCCACCATCCCCGCAAATGGTGATGGAGATTTTCTCCGGAGCTTCAGCCATTGGTTGGTCGTGGTCGTTGATTGAGATAGTAAAGGAGATGGGAGTAGCTCTGCGACTCAGAAAATTATAGAAAGGAATTTGAAAATAGGTGTAGTATCGGAGTGAATGTCAGAAATCGGATAAGAAATGGGGGAGAATTTGCAGCACGAGTAAGGGTAAGGACCGGTCCAGGCTTTTATAACGACAGAAAAGATTCAACTGCAAGGACTCTTATTTAAGCTTCAACTTTATAGTCACAAACCAGCAAAAGAAAAGAACGAGAAAAATCACCGCAAGGGATCCAAATCGAGGATCGGGAGGACGCGACAGCCCCCTGGCTAACTACATGATAGTACTCCCGTAGTGTACATAGTAAGAAGAAAGAGGTATTTGGATCATCGCGTGTTTCTACTATGCCATGCTTTCTTTTTTCGCGCTCTCTTTGTCCGTCTTTGTCCAGTGGGTTTTTTGGTTTCTATTTTCCCCATTTGTTTCTAATTCAATCTCTTTTTGCAAAATCAAACTTTTGGGGCTCAACGCGCACGCGTGGTGATTGGTCGCGGGATTCCGATCAGGTGATCTTCTAAAAAGGACTCAGGAGACTTCAAGTCATACTAGTACGGGGTGCCAGAGTACTCCGTACAGAGTATAGAGGACGATACTCTGAAGTTCTCCGTATATCTATGTTGGTTTTATGTCTGAGAAGGCATCGCTAATCAACAAGTATACTCCAATTCAGCGGCAATGCCGCTCTGACATCACTGCTCTTCCCCGAATAACCTCAAAAAGGAAATCCAAAATGACATTCTCGAATTCTTCTCTACAACTCTCTCTATGGACTCATTTTCACCCCCGAGTCCAATCTATCCCATGTCTATCAAGTGATACATCACAAATGAGCCCTTTACCTCCTCTTCAGCGGCCGCTTTCATTGGCGGTGGCCTTTTAAAATCTGCCGCCCGCCTTCAGAAAACCCTCCGGCACCACCACGTTGATATCTGAATTTGCCTTGCGGATGACCTTTGCATAAACCAGCCAGAGATCCCAGCAATTGTTTGGGCAGACACTTGGGCACCGGATCATCCAATAGTCTCATATCTAATCATATCTAAGGGGATCGGGATCGGCTTGTTGCTTGGCCCTCACCCTTTGCCGCCGTCCGCTCGATTGGGTGCCCCTGGCCTGGCTTTGGGCACTGCTTGTCGCGTAAATAAAAGTTGTTGATGCTGTCTATCGATGGTTGCGTGGCGTCTAAACTCTCTTTTCTGTGCATTGTCAAGCTATCCAATCGCGCGCAATGAGCGGGTTCGATGACTTCTATCACCCGCAGTATTACTCCCTACCGGCCTCAAATCGAGACCACGATGACCCGCAAAACGTCCAAGACCCAGACGGCGATCCCGTGGTAACATCGTCTCTCATGGGCTATTCCCAATCAGGCGCGTATGATTTCGGTCACTATCAGACTGTCTACGATCAGTCGCAAGAGCCCAGCGTGTTCCGGGATGGCACCCCAAGTACGAGCACCAGCATCACCACAGGACATCCGACACATGCGAACCAGTTGCAGACGCATAATCAGCAACCTTCGCACCCTGTGGGCTATCCAACGCAGGGATCGAATCTGGAAGGCCGTCTGTCAAACGTCAACATCTCTTATGATCCCTGGTCCGGCGCAGAGACTCCAATGCCCATGAACCCGCATGCGGGGAGTGCATTTCCCTACGACTTCTCGACATATCCAATGCCTCCTCAGTTAACACCACAGCACATGGGTCTGAACCCTCAATCGACCTATTCCACCTTTCAGACGCAGACACTAGCTCAAAACACATACTGGGGAATGGATGGCTATCATCCTCCACAACAGGACCAACCCGTATCACAAGGACAATATCAGAGCCCTCAAGTATATTCTCAATCACATGCTCCTCAGCGGACATTGCAACCGAGGGCTATTCAACCAAAAAAGCAACCATTTCAAGGTGGGTATTCTGCTGCATACTGAAGCCGGGCCTTGCTGATCTGTCAATACCTATTAAAGATAATTTTCCGTCCAAAGTGAAATCCGAGTCGCACATTGAAGCCTCGCCTTATACTAATATCTATTCAACAAGTGGTTTTGATATACTGGGTGTTTTGGTAGGTTTTGCCTTTGGGCACACGATATGCCACAATGCATTGCTAAAACTTTCCAGGCTCGCGTAATATCAAGACCAGACCCAAAAATCAACATCGGTGCCGTCGATTTATCCTGTGCGTTTGTGCTCTGCGACATAACCCAAGATGATCAACCAATCGTATATATGTCAGAAGCCTTTGGACGGTTAACAGGATATTCCGAAGAGGAGATCGTTGGCGGGAACTGTCGCTTTCTCCAAAGTCCCGATGGTAAAGTAGAACCTGGGACGCAACGAAAATTCGCCGACCCCAACACGGTTTACCGAATGCGAACAACCATCGAAGAACGAAACGAGATTCAAGTCAGTGTGATCAATTACAGGAAAGGCGGACAGCCATTTATGAATTTGGTTACGATGATTCCTATACGTTGGGACTCGAACGAATATCGGTTCTATGTTGGTTTCCAGGTCGATTTAGTGGAGAAGCCGGATGCTGTCACCAAAAAGAATCCAAGTACGTTCCCTCTACTGAAACTTACAGAGCATTGGACTAATATGAATAGATGGAACCTACATGATCAATTACCAGCGAAGCCAGTTGCCTAACTACGTGGTGCCTCCATCTGACGTCCGCCAGAGTCATCCTGATCTAGCGGTACAATTTGGCCATGATCAAGTGTCTGCCATCCTGCGTTCTATTAGCGCTTATCGACCAGAATACGAACACTACCTCGATCAGATCCTCGTTGAAAACGCAGATGACATCATCCACGTCTTGTCTTACGATGGCGTATTCCTCTATCTCTCCCCGTCATGCCAAAAAGTCCTGGAGTATGAGTCCTTCGAGTTGGTTAATAAGTCATTATCATCAGTTTGCCATCCCAGTGATATCGGTACCGTCACTAGGGATCTTCGAACTAGCACCACCACAGCTCCGATAAGCGTGGTGTATAGAATCCGCAAGAAGTACAGCGGTTATGCCTGGTTTGAGAGCCATGGTGCATGGCATGTGGAGCAAGGTCGAGGACGGACATTCCTTGTCTTGATTGGCAGGGAACGGCCAGTGTATCATCTCGGACAAGTCGCTGGGTTAGGGAGTGAAGCTCTTGACGAGACAGATGCCTGGGCCAAGATATCTGCGTCGGGAATTATTCTTTATATCTCCACGAAAGCACGGCCAGTCCTCGGGCGAACACAGGATGACCTAGTCGGGACGAGCTTCAAAGACTTATTAGGTGCGGAAAGTCACTCAGAGGTGCAACGGGCCTTGCAGAGCTCGCGAAACGGTCAGCGAGCGATGTTTAGCCACCAAGTCCGTCATAAGAAGGGTCATATGGTCCAGGCGCAGACGGTTCTGTTTCCTGGGGACACTAAAGAAGGCGCTAAGCCTTCATTCCTTGTCGCCCAAATGCGCTTTCCGAAATCATCACAGCCGTCTAGCGAGGAGCCCATGCCAACGGAGACGACAACGTCAATACTAGCTAGAGATCAAACGAAGTCAACAAGTACAGACCAACAACAAACCCTCGTCAATGCCTCCCGCGCAAACCACCTCCCCCCAGACAACCAAAACATATCCTCCCCAGAGCAAATCACCATATTCCCCGAACTCATCCCAACCCGCGGCTCAAGCTGGCAATTCGAGCTCCGCAAGCTCGAAAAACGCAACCGCGGCCTCTCCGGCGAACTCCAACGCTTACTCACCCGAAGAAAAAAGCGGAAGCGGAAGCAAACGTCAATTCCGGTGGGCAAGAGCTGCACCATGTGTCAAACGAAGAACACGCCGGAGTGGAGGCGGGGCCCGAGCGGGAATCGGGATTTGTGTAATAGTTGTGGATTACGGTGGGCGAAGCAGGTGAGGAGTACGGCGCAGATTGAGAGGTCGGGGTCTGCTTGATATGTCGGGTTATGTGTTTTGTGTTCGGAGTGATGTGGTTATGTATAATTGGAGCGTGGAGCGTTTGAACTTTTTTGTATAGTATATTTCAATGCATCAGCCTGTCGGCTATTAGAATATATCTGTTTGGGTCACCTGAAGGTGAGACACTGGTATTCACTGTCTTTGTGATCTGGAAATATCTATCTTGTTTGTCCTCTGCACTCCTGCGAAGTGAATGGTTAGGACTGTCATACATTGAAGTCTCGAGCCAGGCTCTCCATAGACCGGCTTAGGTCTTCATTTCCTGCTTCAACCTGCCACCAACTGAACTGCTGGTATAAATATATATGTCATGTCTATATATCCGCTACAACAATCATTCGCCAACCAGCTTCGTGGAGTCCGCTCCGAAGCCATGTGTCGCTTGGTCTTGTCGGTGTGTGCATGCTGAGCATGTATTCCAATTTCCTCCCTGAAAATGTACGCTGCACGTCGCGTCACCTATCAAACGTCAATAACTCTCAGTATGTGATTGATAAGGGCCACTGTCTTGGTTTTGCTACACCTCTAACTGATATGTGCAGAATGGAGTGGGTCTACCTACGCCCTTCAGCAAAAGCTGTTTATCCATGTCGATTGGCGATTTAAGGTTGGCTCAATATTGATTGCACGCCTGACGGCCCTTTACCGCTTTCATCATTTAAGAGATGAACCTTGGTCTACAGTTCCATATACTGAGCACCAGATGTGAGCCAGTCATACGATGTTGAATTTATATAGAATATCGAAGGGATTCTTCCAATAGCGCTCAGTTGCTCGCACCAAATCATCCTTCGCCGATAACATGCGGATTGACGTTTCCGTGTGTTCCTTCTATTACAACCGAACTACTGTACATGGTGACCAGGCTTCCCAATGGCGCATTTCCGCGTGCCCGGCTTTCGGGGTTACCAGCGAGATATATATCGAAGATGTATCCTCTGCCCAAACAAGACAATGTTGAGTGCTTTTGGGACATCTGGGAGGTACAGCACTTTGCAGCAAACATGAAGAATGGTTTCTTTCAGCATCATCGCGCCGCACCATGCAGTCTATAACTGATAGTTAATATGCCCGCGTTAACCACATGGCCCTAAGCTAACCGATTTTTAGTTACTCCCACGAACGAGAATCGCGAAAAAAAAAAAAAAAAAAAAAAAAAAAAGCCACACAGGTCAACAAGCTGGAAGACTGCTAAAAGAGAGTACACATGGCCTTCATCATCTCTATACCACACAGCTAGTTTTTGCTGGGTGATGGTAAGTTCGATGTTTCTGTCCGTCTGTTTATACTACTTTGCTGATTCTTCATCCGCGTTGAATTGGAATAGATGCTATATAGAATAGCAACGGGTATCTTGACAGTCTACACATCCACGGCTCAGCCATGGCCCCTGCTCGTCGGCGTTTGTTAAGAAAGCAACGTCACTGAGAAGGAAGCCTTGAAGAGACCAAGGTTCTTGACAAATTCCATCCAACAAAACATTGTCAACATGTTTCATGCACATAGCGGCAGTGGCCGACTTCCACGGAGCTCAAAGGAAATATCGACATACCATTGTGCAAGCTATTGGAGACAACAACCATCGAGGCTTCTTATCCGAGATACAAAATGAAGCATTGGGTACATTGGGGACGAATGCACAATGGACCTTCCAGGCAAGACGTGCCACTGTGATTGGTGGCATCATATACGCCGCAGTTCATGTATTAACATACCGTCAGCCCTACATGGAAGACTACCAGTCAAGCCTGGACAAATAGGACGTCCCCGGAGGAGGCAAGGGAGACAGAGGATAATGAGCCTGTATTGCAGCTCGGATGCGATCTCAACCAGAGATGAATGGACCGGGGGCAGTGTATTATGAGCCAGTGACTATCGCAAAGAAGTGGGCCCCGGCACATCCCCTTGACAGTGTACCAAGTTGGCCGTTGCGCCGGTATGTTCAAATGCTGGGTTGCTATTATTCCTATTAGGGCTATTGAGTCATTTACCTCCCTGATTGCCATGTTTGCCACGGTGCTCCCAAAGTCAAAGGATTACACACATCTCAGAGCATTATCGACAAATTGACAGCTTCGAAATATCTGTCGGGCTATCTGGCAAATCGCGCAGATCCTAACCGGCATCTTCAAGAGCCTTTGCTGCTCAACTGGAATCAACTTCAACTTCAAAATTGATAGAATCATCAACCTGTGGCACATATCACATCCATTTGCGAAAAGGCAAAGGCAGATTCCATGACGATGGCAGTATTAGCGACCAGACAGTGAAGCTTTTACGCGCCTCCAAATTTGACATCGTTCCAGCCATTTCCTCTCGATAGCTTACAGATCGGCTGAGTAACGGCCTTTTGCGCTTCCATATTAAAGTTGGGAGTTACCGATGCAGCGATGTTCGAAGAAGTTTTGAGCAATATGTTGGTGAAATGCTAAACACCACATACACACCCAAGCCTGTGATAGGGGTTCAAGGTTCCAACGAAATATTACTAGAACGCCCCGGAATATAATTGCAACCAATGACGAAGGGGCCCTCTGAACTGAGGGCGAAATAAAAAATGCCCTGGACTCAGTCATCCCGTCAGAACACCCTTATCCTAATCACATGCCAACTGCCAATAACTATTAGCGGAGACGACAGGCATCCTTACATGCTTTTTCGTCAATTTGAGTTATAACCTTATACACATACACCCTCTGATGGTATCGGGGCTTTGAAACATACGCCAGGGTCAGCTTGACGGACCATGAGCATTTTTCATGGCCGAGTCTGGCCAAATTTGCGATCTTTGCATCAGACTTAGTGATTGCAACAATTCTGCAAACAAAAACTGACGAAGAAGCCTCTTTAACTATCTCTTATAACTACATTTGGTGGAGTTATGGTCTCCATCTTTAACGATGGCCGTCCATCAAAATGTGGACGAGCACTCACCCATAACCCACGGAGTCCTCCTACATGCAAGAGTATTGTTTTACCGTGGCTTGTGAGCCTACATTTCCAGAAGACCCGGCGCATGCTCGCTGTGGATTGTTTACTGTCACTCAGGCAGTTGACAGCCTTCGCAACGAAGCATCGTCTCGTCTCACCCTCAATATGCAGGCCATGAAACACGGCTTCGATAACGCTCGACCATCCCTCAGGGATGCGAACAACGACAGAGGCCTGATACTCTATGATATGTCAGATCTAGCAGTGGGAACCGGAAGAATTCCGCTTGTTTCATTCGAGGCAAACTGAATACAGTAACATGTCATTGATGCGGTGCACAGCAGAATCACTCTTGACCAGTCAGACTCGATGTGAACAGAAGAGTATCTGGATATGCAACGAATCGATTTCCCATCTCAGGGAGAGAGTATGCTAGCATCATTCCCAGAGTCTGATATACATAGCATGGCTAAAGAAAGAAACCTGTCGTCGACATACAAATCATATGCTGCCTTCCGAAAGTAGTTTGGCCGCAAGCACGAATACCGATCCGAACACATCCGTGCGCCAATTCATCAGACTGATTGACAGGGAAAGCCCCGACATAACCGTGGCAATTGCGCTTTACAACGTAGCATGTCTATATGTACAGCTACACGAGTACATCGCCACGTTGGACCAAATGTTCGCCTCCAGAACAGTTGCCTGCGTGGATGAATGAGAATGGCCTCGGAAGTCAAGGCCATGGTTATACATATAGACCTGTGAGTGAGATGGGGTTTGGAAGAGTAGAGGTGATCTAGGTGATCTTCTAGTATCTATCGAGCATGTAGTGGTCCATCAAGAGTTATGCAGAATTGTTATCATTATGAATGCATCATGTAGGATTAAATGAAGGTCAAAACAAAGAAAATAAAGTAGTAATACACAATACACGCAAGCAGCCAAAAGAAAGCAACGAGAGATCTGGTTTATCAAGCACCAGATGCTCTTTTCGAAGCACGCCGGGAACTAGCACCACCGTCGTCCTTCTTTTTGCGCGAACGGCTACTACCGCCCTTTGGCCGGTAACCGGTGTCATCATCACGCTTGCGCTTATTCTTAGAAGTGCTGGCAGGAACGGTGTCAATAGATGCGCTGTCCTCATCGTCCTCTTCCTTGCGGGCCTGCTGGGCCTTCTTAGACCGCTGGTTCGATGGCCGTAAGGCAGACTTCTCCGACACATTATCATCATCTCGGAAGATACTGGGCTGTTCCCGTCGCAGCCAGCTGTAGACAGAGACCGGGTTGCGCACGGCAACCTCACTATCTCGATCCGACGGTGCTGGTTTCTTGGGGATGCGTTCGAGCTGTAGAGCGGCCGATCCATCGCCTAGCCTTGCGTCAATTCCCAGGTAATACTCATTCTCGTAGTTTGGGTTGAAATATCCCAGAGATTCCGAGGTGTTCCCATTCTCAGCAATATATTGTTCCTCTGCCTGCGACGCAGTGTGTGGCACCTTCAGCAAGGAAGTGTATTGCTTCTCCGGGGCAAACGCGCGTCCTCGTTTCACGGCATCTTCCAAATCGCGATAATCGTCTGGCATGATCCTACCAGCCTCCAGGTCCGCTTTCGCGCTCCGCAACGCCACTGTCGCTGATTCCGGATCATCGAACGCAGGGAACTCTCTCTCGGGTGTGGGTAGAGACGGGGTGTCATCGGGCGCATCCAGACCGAACCGCAGGCTAGGTGAAAGGTGGAGATTGTCGTTGAATTCCAACAGAACTTCTAGAAGTTGACTACCGCCAAATTAGTCATTGCTTGCATATATACTCTGTTGCTGGTAAAACTGCTTACTCGTTCTGTGCCTGGATTCGCTTGGAAAGCTCTTCGATGCGCATTTCCTCACGGACGAGTTCCTCGCTTTCTTTGATACCGAGTTCGAATTTGATCCTGAGCTTGGCGTACTTCTTCCTAAAACCACCCGTTAGTGTCTCCTATTGGAATGACAGGTGCTGGGAGCCGTACTTGAAAGACCGGTAGGACTGCTTCGCAGGGGCTTCCGCTAAGCTCCCCGGTACAGCTTGCGACTCGTGTGTCCCGGACATGGCGATGGATCCTCGAGGTAATATCGTAGAATTCTGGCCGTATGTAAATGTGCAAGAGTAGACAGAAAACGAATTCCTTCTTCTTTGACGGTGGTGATGGTCAAGGAGAGCAGCGAAGGGAATGGATGAATGATTGTCGATCGGAGTTCATTTGCCAAGTCTGGAACCGAACTGCGCAGTGGGCCGTTTATGCCCGCCGTAAAAAGTTTCATCGCCGGCCGACGGTCGAGACAATTCCCTCTACAATTCTCTACTAATCTTCCATATATTTATTACGATCACAATTCAAAATGGCCAGCATTGGAGAAGGAAATGAGAAAAAGCGAAAGCTCTCCGGAGACGAGCTCGCGATTGACGTTTCCGCTCCGGAACCTCCCTCGAAGAAAGCCCTGCGCAAAGCCAAAAAGCAGGGAATCGACCTTACGGCACAGGCCATTGAAGAACAGCAGAAGAAAGAACAGGCAGAGAATGCCGCGAAGACACGATCCGACTATGGAGTTTGGATTGGAAATTTGGCTTTCTCGATCAGCAAAGATGACCTGCGCAAGTTCTTCACGAGCAATTGTTCTTTCGCAGACACCACGGTCACCCGCATTCACATGCCCAAGGGTGCGGACAGGTTCAACAAAGCACAGAACAAAGGTTTCGCCTACGTCGACTTCGCCCACCCCAATGCGCTGAAGGAAGCAATGGGCCTCAACGAACAGATGCTTATGGGCCGCCGCGTGTTAATCAAGAATGCGAAGAGTTTCGAGGGCAGACCGGACAAGCCGCAAGACGATGGACAGGGATCGAAGACGGCTGCAGCCAGTGGTCAGACTCCATCGCGACGTATTTTCGTCGGCAATCTCGGATTTGACGTGACCAAGGAGACTCTGGAGGAACACTTTGGGCAATGCGGAACGCTGGCCCATCTACACATGGCCACGTTTCAGGACACCGGGAAATGCAAGGGTTATGCTTGGGTGGAGTTTGAGGACATTGCAGCTGCTGAAGCAGCGGTGAAGGGATATGTCATGGTCAACGAAGAGGAGGAGGAAGAGTCTGACTCCGACTCTGACTCCGGTGCCGAGAATCGAAACCGGTCCAAATCCAAGAAACCCAAGCAGCGAAGGGTATGGGTTAACCAGCTTATGGGTAGAAGGATGAGGATGGAGTTTGCTGAAGATCCGACGACACGGTATAAGAAACGCTTCGGAAAGGAGGGAGAAGGCAAGGCCGGGGGAGACCAGTCGGAAGCGGTTGAGGAGGATACGACCGGTGGTCAGTCAGCACCCGCGCGGCCGAAGAAGGTCAGAAAGCCAGAGTACTCTAGATACGACGAGGGAACTGTCCAGAAGCTCAGCGGTGCCATTGTCGAGGGCCAGGGTAAAAAGGTTACTTTTGATTAGCCATTCGACTCGAATGCTGCAAGGATTTCTGCATATAATCGGCATATTACGCTTTAGACTGCTGTATGGCCGTTGAACTGAGAGGCTGTTGTCGACGACTAATGGCCATCTTACAGATACCCAAAAGAAAAGTTATTTGTGTATATACGAGTAGGGTGTTCTCATGGAGTTATTCGCTATTATTGCATTCAATCTGTCCATACTCGTAGAGCTGGTTAGTCATCAGCATACGTAGCTTGGGTTCGTTACGCCGATCCCCGTTGACACCGGCGCCATGTTGACTCTATTGTGCGTAGTAGATTGTATTTATTGCAGGAAGGGAATTGGTTCCGAGATACTATAATTATTTAACAATAACCCTTCTCTTTCTTAAGAAGTATTATAAGTAGAAGTATAAGGCTATGGAGAGTCTGGCGTCTATTAAAAGACAGTCTAGATCAGGGCGCTAAACTGGATCGGGCAGCTTGACATCTTCCCTCGATGTCATGGCTGTGAAAACCATCACAAATCCATCCTCTCTCTTACCTCTCCTCTCTCTTCCTCTTCTTATTCTTCCTAATCTCGATTGCTTTTTTTTCTTCTTCTCCTCCTCCTCCTCCTTCTTCTTCCTACTTGCTTACTCTTTTTTGGTTTTCCCGCTTTCTCTCTCTCGTTCGCTTTTTTGATCTCGTGTTTCGTCCAAAGTTCAGTCTCTCCGCCTTACCTTAACCTAGTCCCTCGTCGCCATCTCTCCCTCGATCGGTACACCTATCTCACGGAGTTTGTCAGAATATCGAAAATAATCCCTCTTTATCGCCCTAAGTAATCCTACGAACGAAAATACTCCTGTAATCTTTTCCAACCAATCGACCCCTCCAAATGGCTCATCATCGACGCAACATCGGCGCCATCCGGCGACGGAGAAGGGACGACGAAGGCGAAGAGGAAGGCTCCGTGGATGGTGGATTAGATGATGACTCGCTGAGCGAAGGATCGGACGTGAGCCACCAGGACGATGATGCCGACGCTGAGACTAGTGATGGGAGCGATGATGATGAGACATCTACGGCCACTCCGCAGGGAGACCAAGTCAACGGTATTCAAGTCAACGGTTCAGGCACAAAATCGGGTCAGCGCTCAGGTCGTCGAAATGTCACATCTCCGGGGAAGCAAGGGAATAACCCGGCGGTATCGGACACAGAGGCGATGTTGAACGGGCTACAGCTTTCCGGAGACTCTAGCCAGGTTGCAGAGGTCCATTTCGATAATATGAAGGAGGAGCAGCCAGGTCAGCAGGAGGGTGGGACATCATCTGGGCCACCAACTGAGCCCAGGCGGGAGACCTTTGCAGAGAAGAAACGTCGTGAGAACGAGCGGTATGTCAAGGAACGTGACAAGAACCCGGCCTTTGTGCCCACGCGGGGTAGCTTCTTCCTCCACGATAAGCGGTCTACGGGGCCGGGGACGAACGGCAGCAGGCCACCCAACAAGCCCAAGTCGAGGCCGTACGGTCTCATTGTAGACGGCAACGTACAAAGGTATGAGTTACCAACCATCAGGATTGCAAACGGTTATGGACGTATCCACTAACTCCATATAGAAGCCAACCCAAATCAGATGCCAGTGAAGGGCCTTGGACGCATGATCTTCACGATACAGTTGCGGGAGACGATCCGCCTGCCTCCAAGCCTGCCTCTACTGCACCAAACGCAACCTCTAGTCCTGCCAACTACCCCGTTCCTACTGCCCCTCGATCCTCGCCTCCGAACAGGTCGTTCTCTAGCACTGTCCTGATTGGGAATGTGCCTGTTGTGGTGTTCCTTCCTGGGATGGCCCGACCAACCCAAGCTCGTCCCGTTCCAAAGAAGCAGCACACACGTCTGCCCCAACATCGCCCACCGCTCAGGCGAGACAAGCCTGTCCGGATATCTCTTCCTGGTCAAAATCCCCGATATATCTTCCCATCAACTGAAAGGTCTTTCATCTTCATCCCACGAGCGTTGCGGCCCAACCAACAAGCCTTCCGCGGTAGAGGTCGGGGCGGTTTCTTTGGTGGACGGCGTTCGAGTATCTACGCCAACTCAGCCTACAGCCCGAGTGTTGCTTTGAGCCGGAGGTCTTCATTGGGGAGGGCACCCGAGGGATACCACTCGCCAGCCGCCTCGGTACTATCGAGAGCGACTATGATCACTACAGATAACGGCAAACCTGTTGTCCGTCTACCACCACCCCGTCCCCCAGGAGGCTTTCCTCCCGCTACCTCTGGCCCTAGTGCCATTCCTCCCACTGTTCCGCCTTCTATGCCTCCCCCACAGCCTCAACATCACATCTACCGCGAGAGTCATTCGGACCCTATTCCCATGCATCAACCTCGTCCTCAAAAGACCGTCTCCGTAGCCGACATTGAAACTCCCGAGACCTATACCTTCAATCCTCCACAACCGCAGCAGGAACAGCCGTTCCACCATCAGGTTCCAATGCCTGTCAATGGTGCTGCGTATCCGCCTGATGCTCCTCCACCCACTCAGACACCTTTCTCGCATATTCCCGAACGGGCCATTCATGCCCAACCGTTCCAGCCATACGACTACTCCCAACCGCAGCCATTCTACCCTCCAGGTTATGGTCCGCAAGGCGTATACTATCCCGTCCCAGGGGCCGAATACCCACCGTACAGCACTGCCATGGGACCTGGAGTGTCAGCCGCACCTTACCCGCCGCCTGGTCAACAGGTGCCGTATATGATGCCCGCTCCACCCACGTCGACGACCGAGCAGCCGTCGTCGCAAACACAAACCGTTGCCCACGAAGCCGATGGCATGGTATATTATTACGACACGCCACAGATGTACCCCAACCCGAACCCGAACCCATACGCTGTGCCTGCACCTCCTGGACCCGGAGGAGTCGTGGGGATGGGTGGCATGATGACACCCCCGGGCACTGGCTATTATTACCCTCAACCGCCGGTTTACTACCCTTCGCAGTGACGAAGGGAACTGATCATATTCTTTGTTTTATTTCCCTTTTTTTTTTTTTTTTTTTTTCTTTACCATTTGTTTACTTGCTGCCTATCTTTTCCTCCTGATCAACAAAAACCATGACTTTTTATATGTTTATTTTTCTGTTGGTGTTACCTCTGCCTCTAACGGTCAGTTTCATGCTATCCTTGTTAGATTAGGACCCGATGCATTTTTTTCTTCTTGACTTTTCTAGCGTTTTCAAGCACTTTTGTCTTCTTTCTATTGTCTGTGTTCTGGGAATAGGAATGCTTTGATTTCAAGTCTGATGATTATCTTTTGTGTACACCCGTCTCTGAGCGAACGTGTTGTCGTATCTGCAAATTTTTTTTTTTTTTTTTTTTTGGAACAATCGAACACGTTGCATAATTTCCTTGGTCGTATTTGTTGTTTTGTGTTGTTGGCTTGTTGGGTTGTTGTTGTACGTACTCTTGTGGTACATCTGTCGGGCCCTCGCACAGTGTTGACATATATAGACCGAGTTGCAGGGGGTTTGGTCTAGATGGAAACCCATGGAAAATTAGGAAAAAATGGAAAGATTGTTGAGTGGAACTAGACTCATGTAGCGTGTATGTACAGAGTACTAAATATGTAGAAAACAGCCACATCACTTTCCGTTCTCTGATGGTCTTTCAGCTGTTAGGAATGAATGACGGCATGTATGGCCTTCACCGCCCCCGGATGCAGCTCCGGGGGCCAGAAGAGCAGCTGACCTCCTCTCCAGGGCTGCCTCTTAACCATCTTCTGTTTGCTCTCTTTCTTTCTTTCTCTCCCCATCTCTCCATCCTTTTCTTTCTTCTTTCTTCATCGTCCATCTCCCTCCTTTCCATCCGCAACACCTTTCTATTATCTCCCTTTTGGGCATATATCTCCCTTCGCATCTCGTTATCGCCGGCTACGTCACTCAGCTAAGTAGATCTATCTACTGCTGCTACCGCCAGTTCGGCGATATTACGAGCAGTTAGTGTGATGATAGTGACTAGTGACCCTTCAACATCCCTACAATTGATTGATTATCATTACTACGGTCGCGACCATGCCTGCTCCTGCCCCATCAGCAGCCTCGGTTGGCCATGATACCTTAATCACGGTCAAGGTGCACTACGATGGCACTACCCGCCGTTTGAAGATGCCGTTCAAGGACATGAAGGCTGAGATCTTTCCCCAGAAGGTAAAATCTCTTTCATTTCCCCTCCACAACAGAGCTCCGACCGGGGAAAGCTTGATTACGGGCGTTTTCCATATCTTTCCGAATCTGGAACCCCGTCGTCATACACTATCTCCCGTGATCATCATGACCACACCCCCCCGGGATCCCGACCACAACACAATACGTTCTTTGAAATAGTAAATTCTGATGGTGGATCTGTAACAGCTCCTTCAACTCCTCAATGTCCCATCGGACGCCGATGTCATTATCGAGCGATACTCCGATAGCGCAGCATCCTTTGTCCAGCTTGACAGTGAGAATGCAGCCGTCTACAAGCAGCTGAGTCGTGCCGCTAGGGCAAAGCTTAGGTTGGTAATCGGTGTCACGACGGTTAACAACAATCCCCTGCCGTCTCCCGTGTCACAGGAGAGCTCTGATAGCTCTACGGAGCAGGAGAGCCCAGCAAGGAATGACTACCTGGACACGGTCCTGAGTCATCCATTGCCGGAAGTTCCGAGCGAAGAGAGCCCCGATGCTACTCCGACGGGCGACGACACTGCTAAGAGCATTGGCAACCTACCGGTGGAGTTGTCAACTACAGACACTGTTGCTGCTCCGCAACCACAGTACCGGGAGTTTGAGAACAACAACGATTCCCCAGCTGTTGCGCATCAATCTCCCGCAGGATCGTTTTGCATCGACTGCAACAACTGTGGTCAAACCGTTCCTAATGAGCATTACCACTGCGGCATCTGTGACGACGGGGACTACGACTTGTGCTTGCAGTGTGTCGCCTCGGGCATCTCCTGCCCAGCCGAAGATCATTGGTTGATCAAGCGTTGTGTTAAGGAGGGTACCGTGACCAACAGTACCACTGAGAAGATCGCTCCTCAGAACAGCAGCAAGCCCATGGAGCAAGTGAAGCCCTCTGAGGTCGCTTCTGTGGTCGCTCCCGAGCCCATTGCTGAGCGGTCTTCTTCGGTGACACTATCGCCCGTCCCAGATGCTTCTGCCCCTGCCATTGCACCTGTTGCTACACCCGCGCCTCCTCCAGCTCCCGCCCCTGTGCAGTGCGATGAGCGCATCTGCAATGCTTGTCTCAAAGGTATGTCTTCGATCCTGTGAATCCTTCTAGTTGTAGCTGGTTGATTCTAACATCTGTCAGAATACGAAGAGACCAAGATGGTCACCTGCGTTGACTGCGAGGACTATGATCTTTGCGTCAACTGTCTTCTCGAAAATGCCCACGGCCATCACCCTGGACATGGTTTCTCTCTTGTCCAGGACCGTCAGTTCACTTTGAGGAGCTCAGTAATGTCGCGCTGTCACCCTGGGCGTAACCAGTATCATGCAGCGGTATGCGATGGCTGCGATAAGGTTAGTCTAAAAAGACAGTGTATGTTCTTGAGCACAGAACTAACATGCTACAGCAAATCACGGGTGTACGTCACAAGTGCTTGGGCTGTCCTGATTGGGATTACTGCTCGGATTGCGTTCCGAATGCGCCTCTCATTCATCCCGGCCATCGATTCGCTCCGATCTACGGCGCCCTGTCTGAGCCCCTTCCTTCTGTAGAAGTGCATTCTGGCATTTTCTGTGATGGCCCTCTTTGCAAAAATCAGGTTTCCACTTGCATCGCTGGGCCTCGTTACAAGTGCACTGTGTGCCATGACACGGACTTCTGCGCTAAATGCGAAGCCCTACCAACCAACACGCACAACCACACTCATCCCCTGCTCAAGTTCAAGACACCTGTTCGCCATGTGAGTGTTAGCACTGTTGATGAAGACGTCCTGAGCGGCCAGGGCAGCATGCTTGGTGACCGTGTCGTTCAGAAGTCTGTCTCCACGCAGGCCAGCGCCCCGTCTCAACCTGAGATTACTCCCGCAAAGGAGCCTGAGAAGGTAGAGTCGGATGCTGCCAAAGAGGTTCCAGCTCCCGTAATGAAACAGGTCACGACTCCTACAATCGACGCCACTTCTGGCTACCAGGCTTTCTTTGTTAATGATGTTGTTGCCGACGGCACGGTCATGGCCCCCAACAAGGTCTTCCGACAGACGTGGAAGCTCTACAACCCCGGTCCTCTTGCATGGCCCGCGGGCACTGATGTGCGCTTTGTTGGTGGAGACACTATGTTCAATGTGGATACGGTGCACCCCTCCAGCCTACGATCAGTCGCGTCTGCCATGGAGAGCAACAAGCTCACTGCTCCGCTGGAACCCGAGCAGACTGCCGACTTTACGGTGCTCCTCCGGAGCCCCAGCCGGGAAGGATCTGCCATGTCGTACTGGCGTCTGAAGCTGCCCAACGGTACGCCGTTTGGCCATCGCCTGTGGTGTGACATTCGGGTTCAAGCCGTCGCCTCTGAGCTGGAGCCGGAGCCTCAAGAAGTCTTGCCGGAGAATGAAAAGCAGTCCGAGGAGCCCACGGTCGAGGAGAAGGAGTGCACGACTGAAGAGACTGAGCAGGCAGAGTCTCGGATGATCTTCCCTACTTTGGACAAGGAGTCGCCCAGTATCCACGAGGAGACGACTGCTCCTCGTGCTGCACCATCAACTGCCCCGTCGGAGTCGAACCAAACCAACGAACTGGACTATCTCACCGTTACCGACACCATGAGCATGAATGACGATGAGGAAGTAGATGGCTTCCTTACTGACGAGGAGTACGATGTGTTGGATGCCAGCGACCAGGAATACCTGGAAGCCAAGCAGTCGCAGTAATGAAGTTTCGTAACTTTTCTTTTTTTGGTTATCATGTGTTTTTGTTTTTTTGTTTTTTTCTGGCTTAAGCAACAGCGGGAATATCTAACGGGAATTTGCAATGGGTAAGGTTACGGTGTAATTTGACGATGGACAATTAAAAGGACTTCTCTTTTATTTGATGTTTTGTATGTTTTGGAATAGTAGTCTACTTTTCTCAACGAAGTGCTTTTTTTCGCTATGGCTTTTAGTACTATTTTTGCTATCCTTGAATAAATCCCGATGCTCCCCACTGTCGGTTAACATCCCCGGAGACTATCTAACTAAGTGTGGGGAAACTGAGCTGAGCTGAGCTGGAGCTGCAAAAAAAAAAAAAAATAAATAAATAAATAAAAATAAAATAAAGAGCGATGCCTCGGTCCCTCCTGCTCTTTTCTCCGCTCTTCCCTTCCTCTCACCTCCAACCCACACAAAACAATCATCCCATCTCTCTTTTTGTGCACACAACGTCTCAATTTATATAGTCGTGGAGTAGAAGACCCCATTGGTCATCATCACCATGGGGAGCTTCCTGAATATCACTATCCTGGCTGTCCTGGCCGCCATGTTCGCAGGACCGCTGTATCGCCAGGTAACTTTGCTGGGAGTTCTCAGGAAGCCCATTGAGAACAACCAGTACATCGAGGGCCAGAATCTGATCAAGATCGAGGATACAATGCAATGCGAGGATCTGCACTACCATGCGTCGAGCAACAAGCTGTTTACAGCTTGTGAGGATTCCGTGCTTCCGCGTTTTGAATGGTTTCCGCCCATGAAGGTGTTTAAGAAGCCGTCTCTTGCAACGGGCTCAATTCATGTTATTGATCCGACGGTATGTCATGTATTCCAGAACTCATTTTATGCCCGACGGCGCTAACTGTTGTAGACCATGAAGTCGACGCGACTCACGTTTGAGGATGGCTTCTCCGGTCCGTTCATCACGCATGGAATCGACGTTTTGGAGGATCCAGAGCGCCCCAACGCCGTGTACATCTTTGCCGTGAACCATGCACCTCACCCCGCATACCGTCCTGGCCGATCGGACAGAGAATGGGATTGGGACGGCCCCAAAGCTCGCTCGCAGATTGAGCTCTTCCATCATGTTTTGGATACCACGACCGCGACGCATGTTCGATCCATTCGCCACCCGTTGATCAAGACACCCAATGACATCTATGCCGAGAGTCCGTACTCTTTCTTTGTTACCAATGATCATGGGTATCGGGATGGCGTGCGACGCGCTATCGAGGAAATCGTCCCGTTGGCTAAATGGTCCAGTACCATTCATGTGCGGTTAGATGAGCTGCACGCGGTGGATGCCGAAGCGGCCATTGATGCGTCGGTTGCGCTGACAGGACTCTTCAATAACAACGGGTTCGGCCATGGCAAGGCCGCGAATGATATGCTGCTCACCAGCGCCTCGGGAGGGGTGCTGTATCTAGCCCAACCGATTCGGGATCATGATGGAGATACCATCTCGGTGAAGGAAGAGATTTTGCTGGACAGCGACATCGACAATCCCAGCCACTTCACTGATGTGTATCGGACTTCGGACATGGATGACGCCAGTGGCTTCGTGCTCGCTGGACTGAGGCGACCCATTGATATGGTCACGCATCTCAGTGATCCGACTGCCAAGGACGGTGTGATGGTGTGGTACACGCGGCCCAACACGACTGCCACCAGGCACAGTGAAGGAGAGGGCGAGCATGAGCAAAACGATGACGAGAAGAGCAGCAACAACGGAAGGTACGAAACCCGTCTGCTCTTCGAAGACGATGGCACCCATATCCGGACCGCCGCCACAGCCGTGCTGGTGCCGATTGCACCGCAGCCAGAACAGGCTAAGAAGGCATGGTTGTTTGTGACGGGATTCTATTCGGAGAGCATGATTGCGGTCAAGGTTGACTTGTAGTCGGATTCTACTCCATAACGTATTGATAGCATGATGTATGATAGAATGATATGATTATTATGCGCTGGTATGTGGTATCTTGTAAACAAAACTGCAATTCGTAAAGTCATTTCATTCTCCGCAGAGCCTTGACAACGTCCTCCGTACCCATAATCTCCGCAAATTCTCCCTCCAAACTGGCAATCGAGACATTATGCACAGTATCCGCATCAACACCACCCTTAGCCCAAGCCGCCGTAGCATCCGCGACGACAATAATCCTCCCCGGTTCCGCAAGCCCCAGATTCGCCGCGACACGCACAGTCGTTGAGACACAGTGATCAGTCGTCAGTCCGGCGAAGAGTAACTGACGGAAACCACGTTGCCGGAGGTATGCCTCTAACTCAGGGCCAATAGGCTTGGAGTTGAGCGATTTCCAAACGACCGTTTCCCCAGTCCCCGTTCCTCCGCCGCCATCACCATTGGCTTTATCCTTTGATAACGGTCGCGCAAAGTCCAGAGGTCGGATTAGCTTCATTGGATGTTGCGGATGCAGTGGACTCGCTGGGTTATCCGAGGTATGGAAGATATGTATAACCTCGAGATTGTTCTCATTATCATTTTTACTATTACTTTCGTCTTTGTCCTTCGAGGAGAGCGGCAGTATCGACGGCGACTGCGAAGGCGACAGGGCTGCCTCACGGGCAACCCGGAACGCAGCGAGGAGAGAAGTCAGGTTAACTTCGAAGAGGGGATTCGAGCGCGCAGACGCCGGGCCGGAGGGGTGTGCGAAGGCGGCTTGGTTGTCGAGGAGAATGAGGGCTGTTGGGAGGGAGGGGGAGAGGGCTGGAGGTGGAGTATTCCGGGAGGAGGGTTTTAGGAAGTCGAACATCTTGCTCCCCCCCCTGTAGTACTTGTATGTGGACGTAGTTTGTATAGAGTGGAGGATGGACTTTTACTCCGCAAATTTTATTGTTCATGATATGATTGTTGCCTGAGTGCCTGGCGTTATGGACACCTGAATGCCTGGGGATCAGACATCTCTTCATGTCCCGTTCGGGCAATCTGACACCACCCCAGTTACAATCTCGCCTGTCACAATGCTACACTCAATTCGAGCACACCGGGCCATTCGCCCATCGCCAACAATAATACCAACAGCATCGAAACTCCTCAATCCCTCGACACGAACCTACTCCTCCCCGTCCTCCAAAACACACACCCGCCCGTCCTCCTCCGCACAACCCGACTCCCCAGCAACCGTCCCCTCAACCTCCTCTACATCCACAACCTCCCCGGACGATATCAACCCGCCACCAAGCACGCGCCCGGCAGACATCAACACACCAGACTCGCTACCCGACGATGCCGCGCCGGTCGATACAGTAAAGCGCTATATCGCGCTGGGACGGGCATACCTCTCTTTCTACAAGACGGGATTGAAGAATGTATACCACAACTATCGCACTTCTCTCCCATTAAGAAATGAATTGGGACTGCCAGTGTACCTCCCAATTTCACCGCCCCCGAAATCGAAAACGATTGCGTTCAAAAACGCAGTCGAGAAGACCGGGCTTAGTCGTTCGAATTTCCAACTTATTCGACGCGCCGCGTACGATGTTCGACGGATGATACCGTTTACGCTTATGTTGATTATCTGCGGGGAATTCACCCCAGTTATCGTTCTCGCGTTAGGTAGCGCAGTCGTCCCGTATACCTGCCGCGTGCCGAAACAACTCACCAAAGACCGCACGCAAAAGGCAGCCAGGAAGCGCGCGGCCCTGGTGGCGCATTACGTCCAATATACAGGCTCCGTCTCATATACTCCAGACCAAGGGAAGGAATTGGACCTGTTAGCGCAATACGTCAATCTGGAGTGGATCGAGTCCGCATCTCCAGAAGAAGTGCTGCGCGCATGTGCAGTCTTCGGTCTTGTAAAGACACATACCCGTCCGTCTGCGCTTGTATCGCTGGTATACCGCGCGCGGCTGAGGCGGTTTGCTGAGTACTTGGCTGTTGATGATGGGTTGGTTAAGCGTGGGGGTGGGGTTAGTGCGATGGAGGGGGTGGAGGTTAGGATTGCGGTTGAGGAGAGGGGTGGTGTTGAGATGGTTATGCGGGAGACTGGGGAGGGTGTTGGTGAGAGTGACGAATGGGAGGGGGAGAGGGAGCAGAGGAGGTGGTTGGAGGGGTGGTTGGAGAGGAGGGCATAGATCTCTTTTTATAGGTGTTTGATATAGGGTTGGGAAAAGCTGTAGATAAGATCTATAGATTTACTATGATAGAATGATATGTAAAAGTTGATACAATACGCTCCAGCTCGCAATAGAAACAATGAAACATTCAAAATATAAAAGCCTTGGACGTTTTCTCCCCCTGGTTATCCACCGTCACGAGCACTGTGGCGTGCGGATTAGTATGCTTGCCATATCCTCACATCCTCATTGGGGCTATGTCCATTTGGAAATGCTCATGGTGGCAGTTATGGCCTTCGAGCTTTTGCTTCCATTGACCATAGTTCAGTTAAGATTCAGAACATTCCGGAACAACCTTGTTTTTCGTGCCTTGGTGCACCGAGTGCTAACATTGGCCTGATTCTAGCACACTTGGGATCAAACAGGAATTATCTCCGCGGTTGGTCCCAGCGCCTTATCTCACGGTATATGTATGAGGGGGTATTGAGTAGTCAACTTGACTCGATTTGACGTATTATGCCATGCAGAACTCACCGGCGGACTTGCAATAGGTAGTACTCATTGCTTTCGAGAGAAATTGTTCACGCTATCTAATAATGGTGATGAGACAATCATGGCTTCTGTTGTGTATCTTTTGAACTTTTCTCGTACAATTCATTAGAGCGAGTATCGTATAATACAGATGTTCCGGTGGTACTACCACCAGATTGCAAGAGACCACAACAATAATATTGGTTTCGAGTAATAACAGCCAGCTTTATGGTTTGAAAGACGGCAGTCGAGATAGAATATTGAGGTATGTCCACTAGGACCAGGCCAGGCAACGCCCCGGGTATATAGAGACGGGTTCAGAAGCGGATTCTCGCAGTTAAATAACTTCTAGGCCAAATCATGAGTTAGGTGTCTTTTAACTGTTGAGTCGTGGTCAACGTGTGCTTGGAGACAGCGAATGACCCGTGTAAATTGGATTTGTCTGACCATCAGGACTCATTGTCGGTTAGGGTTAGTCGAACATTCCGGCCAGTATGGTGTGGTAATGCTGTCGTTGGTTCTATCCTTCAGAGAATCGGTCAATCGGAATCGTTTTGAACAGTTTTTGCTAAGCGGAATGTGTAGTACGCTTACCACGGCTTCTGGGGATCAATCAATGATGCGTAGGCATCTGTTATTGTTTGTATGAGGTATCCTGGACGCTTTATTCAAGTGTTTCTAGGGAATCATTTCAATGCCGTAAAACCGTTCGGTTTTTGAGTACCTTCTCTCAAGTTTTTCTGACCAAGCTTTAGGTTATACGCTGGATATCAACCTATGGAGAAAAGGCATGCCATGGGCCCCCACTCTCTTTTGGCGTGTATCGAAGCTATCGCCCCAACATTACTCTGATGGGACACAGACATGCTGTGTGTGATGTGCATGATAATAATAACTCAAAGACCTCCTAAGTCCATATGGCAGAAAGAGCGTCAGAGATTGCTTTTCAACTTCGAGATTTGGCGTCCCTGTGATAGGCTCCCTCTTCGTGAAAATTAAGGTCTTCGATTATCATGTCGTTGGGTAAAGCGTATTTGGTATACACCTTGACGTGCATTTAGCGCGCCGCGTGATTGTGTATGAACCCTTCTTATCCAAATACTCAATCTGAATTTATGAGTAACGGGTACGCTTGAATGTTTATTAGGAAGATTTGTCTTTCAGGGACAGTTATTCCTGCCCTTTTTCACGCTATTACTGCCAATTACACAGCAAAAATGTCCTTGACTTGTTTGCGCTCGTGGTTCCATGTGCTAGTTTTGATGCAAAGACCGCGAAGGGTCAATGAGCGAGCCATCAGAATCGCAGACCGAAAGCACAAGACCGTGGCAGAAGGGTGTGGAAGGGTATTATTGACCCAAATTTAAGAGTTTATCCTCTGAACAAGAGAATATGTCCCGTTTTTGAGTTCTTCATCCCAGTATTTTGGTCCAATCATCTTGTATTCCCATACAGTCGTGGTTCCATGCGTTGAATTAGTGCTATGATGTCGAAAGGCACGGTGCATTCGGGATCTTCAATGATAATGGTCCAGTCACGTCTGTGGACTCGCTTTCTTCCTCATGTTGGGTATGTGATTAGTCGCCACTATCTGGGTCTCGCGTTATACCTATGTCGCTCATGGCACTGGTTTTTCCAGAGTTCTAAACATGTGGTCTTCGAACGCTTATTTGCAGATATACCACATTTCAAGCATTGCAAGCTATCTGTGACTATTAGTCGAGCATTTGAAGGCAACAAAGCTTTACACCAGGAAACATAGAATTGCCAAAAAAATCGATAGGGTCTGGGGAAATATGCATCGTCCTCATGGTCAAATTTTATTTTCTTGCTACCAGTCTTGCTGAAACTGACAGGTTTGGCACGCTTCGGTGGGCAATTGGTGGCTGGATTGTCTTAGCTTGGGAAGCAACAAGCTTCCAGTTGATCATTTACCCCGTTCCAGGAGACGCCTGTCAGCTAAATCCGGCGATACAGAGCCAAATCATACGGGAAACATCTGAAATGACAGATTTGTAGAGAGGCGGAAACGGCCTTTGGGCACGTCTTTCCAGGTTGTGTTATAAAGAGCTCTCTCATTACGCTCTGCAGCAAATCCGGTGTTTGGAATGCAGCTGCACCATTGGACTTGGAGGTAGCAGTTCACGTCTGAGCAAAACTGTGAATCCAGCCAGTTTCTGGTTGTGACTTGAAGTTTGGAATTTAGCAAGCAGACAAGTTTGAATCGAGGACGGCTAAATGTTGTACGGATCGATGATGTTGGGGAAGTGAAAACAAAAGGTGGATGCGAAATGAATGCCATCGGTAGTCCCTCAAAACACGAGAGCTAACGCCATCCAATTCCAGAGTTAACAGCATTGAGTTGGTCTTTTGACCAATTCTAGACGTAGCTTTGATGACCGGAGGATTTGTGAAGCCACGGTCCAGTTCACAGTGCGATGTCGTTATTGTAGACTCTCGCCTATAACCAGACAAATCCCACTCCGAAATATTGCTTATGATTAACGTAATCAACCCCCGAGCGACGAATATCACCGAGCGACGAATTCTCGCCGCAACTACCACTTCCTTTTTTCAATGCGTTGTTTTATCACCACTATGATCAAAAATGCCTTTATCTCAAGAAAATCGCGTTCAAATGGCGATTGCAGCTTATAGAAATCAAAAAGTCAAATCAGTACTGCGCGCTGCAGAGATTTATGGTGTACCTGAGCCTACCCTTCGTGCTCGAATCAAAGGAAGAAAACCACGCTCTGAAACACGCGCCAATAGCCATAAATTAACGGTTCTTGAAGAAGATGTCCTTGCTAAGCGCCTGCTAGATGCAGATAAACGAGGCTTTGCAGTTCGACCAGAATTCCTGCGTGGAATGGCGCAAATCTTGCTCTCTGAGCGTACACAGGATCCCCTCCAAACCCTAGATGCCAACTGGGCATCTAAGTTTGTCAAACGCCATTCAGCACTGCATACACAATATAATTGAAGAATCACATATCAGCGTGCAAAGCAGGAGGATCCAAAGGTCATAAAACAGTGGTTTGAGACTGTACATGCAGCTATTCAAGAACATGGCATACATGAAGATGACATCTGGAACTTTGATGAAACTGGCTTTGCAATGGGACTCTGTACAACATCCAAGGTAATTACTGCAATAGAACACAGTGAGAGACCTTGTACAGTCATCCAGGGTAATTGTGAATGGGTTACTATCATTGAATGCATCAGCTCGAAGGGGATTCATATACCACCCATGATCATCTTAAAGGGAAAGGAACAACAGGCTGCTTGGTATCAGGAACCCAATCTTCATGCAGATACAGGTTGGAAGCTTGCACTAAGTCAGAATGGCTGGACAACAGATGAAATAGGCCTTCACTGGCTAAAAGAGCTGTTTGAACCTCTTTCTAAATAGCATTCAACTGGTGCAAAGCAGCTGCTTATCCTTGATGGTCATTCTAGTCATATGACTGCAGGATTTGATGATTTCTGCAAGGAGAATGCAATCATCTGTCTCTGTATGCCTCCACATACATCTCATCTCCTTCAACCACTGGATGTTGGTGTTTTTGGACCACTCAAACGCGCATATGGAAAATTGGTTGAGGGGATGATGGTTGCTGGAAACCACATTGATAAGGAGGACTTCTTGCATTTATATCCCCCTGCACGCAAAGTAGTCTTTACTCAAAAGAATATATGCAGTGGCTTTGCAGGAGCTGGTCTTAAACCACTTGATCAAGACTGGGTTCTTGAGAAAATCACCTTTCAACTTCGTACGCCAACACCACCTCTTATTGAAGTTGAAGGCTCAATCTCCTCTGCTTTTCAAACACCCCAGAATATTCGCCAGCTTGATCACAAGGTCCAAAGCTTACAGAGAAGCCATCAAAAGAAAAGAACACTTTCTAGCAGCCCAGTCTCTCATTCAACATCTTGAAAGGGCTACACAGATGGCAATGAATACAAACCTTCTTCTTCATCAAGAAATTAAGGTTCTACGGGCTGAGAACGAGCGGAAAACTAAGAAGAAGGCAAGGAGACGTGCAGTATTAGGAAATGATATTATCTTATCTGTACAGGAAGGTCTAGATCGCATTCAGCAGCTTGATGTGCAGGCTGAGGACCAGATTGAGGAGCAGGCATCTATGCCTCGCCAGCGTGCTCCACCACGCTGCAGTGGCTGCGGGACTATTGGACATACTATAAGGAGCTGTCCTAGTAAATAACTATTTGTTTCATCTTTATATAGTCGAATCTAATGGTGTTGGTGGTTGAAAAAACATCAAAACCCTGGTAGTTGCGGCGAGAATTCGTCGCTCGGTGATATTCGTCGCTCGGGGGTTGATTACGTTATGTAATTGGCATTGACTAACTAACTATTGAGACGCTGATTTGGCTATTATCGTTGAGGTTTCAAACGTCCCAGGTTCTTCGTTTTAGAATCATCTCCATTCTCGCGCGCCCCCTCCCTGGCCAAGCTCTTGTGCTATGAAGATGACCCAGCTTGTACACACCATTTCCTCCATCCAATAGGGGGCGCAAGTTGTTTTTACCGGCGGTATTATTGACCGACTCCGATTGCTGACTTGTCAGTTTGAACCCTTCCTCCGCTGTGATGTCCTCCGAGCTTAGTTCTGCCTATTGGAGGAATATGGTCTTTCAATCATAATTTTGAAAGCAGCCAAAGACTAGCTTCGTCAGAAGACAGGTATGGTCCCCGCTTGGAACTGGTTGCAAGATTTCGATTTTCAACCTTCACATCCTTGCACACAAGCTGGTATGTATAGGTCTTCCGATTCTTTCATCCAATGCAGCATATGTGTGCTAGTGCTGCTTGGTCCTCTATCTTTTTAACCACTCTGGGCCCATAATTACCAGGCAAAATGCCCTCATGTATGTGAGCCCTACCCTGAGCAGACCAACTGTGTTGATAAGAATGTCTGGTGATGGACCCAACACATGATCCTTGGCCCTGATTATGTATGTGTTGTTGTTAAACCTGTTTATTACTGTGTTCTGATGCTTCATGCTCATTTATGACAACAATCACACTCCGGTTGTAAGGGTGACTTGCAAGGCCGCCTCTAATTTCGAGGTAAATCATCTGCCTTTTGGTGGTGTGTATGCTGGACCATCTGCTTGTATGCTCCATAGGCCCTTAAATCAGTTCCTTCTTGATTAAATGGAAAACGCACTGGTGCTTATCCTTAGGGACAAGGACATTGTTTTTCGGAAATAGGTCCGGGTAGACCGTAGACGGTTTCACGATCAAATCTATTCTTAAATGCTTACTGAGTGCTGTTCTCATTAGACTTCGTCTTGTCTGCAGAAGAAAGAGATGTTTTACGCCTTCTGTTACCCCGTCTGACATGATCATATGAAGGTGGGAAGATCAATCGCCATTAGACGATTTGGTACATTCTCGTGCCAGCCAAGGTCGTAGTACATCTTCTTATTGTTCTCGTATGTCGTGTCATGGATATTGCTGCGAATCGATATATGCTCGACGTCTAAGTCGAGGTACGGCAGCGCTTCCAGGGTCAGACGCGACAGCAACTTCTGCCGCTCCGTAGAGAACGGGTAAGCACCTTTAACATCGCCAAGCAGACCGCATGTGTCTCTAAAATGTCTTCCGGTGTTTAAAGAAAAGCCGCGTGTTTTTAGGGTCGATCACAGCACTGATACACTCCATTCGCATAAGGAGAGCCACTTTCTTCGTTTTCCGCTTGCTGGCGACCGTCGGTATGTCTTTGGCCTGTAATGAGGGCACCATGTGGTGGAATCCTAATCATAGAGTTTTGTTGATACCAGCAGCTGTTATTATCGATGAATCTCTTCTTATTTACTGGTTCTTGTTGTCGTTTCGATGGCTAATTGCATTGTACTAGATGAGCTTCAGCTCTGTGCAGCTTCGATCCTTCGATAAGGGGTATGCTTATTATTACCACGTAGAAGTGACTCAAGCTCAAAAGAAAACAAACAGGGAAGAGTGCCTCACGTATAAGAGCACGAAGTTGATGGAGGGTGTTGTAGAAAGATGGATGACGGCCGTGAATAGGGCTGTCTCTGATGTGTTTGCTTCGTTTGCAATAATCTGCACTGTTTGCATCAAATGTCAAGTCTTCATCCGCGACGGACAAGCACCCTCAACATCATCTTCTCGAACCTTGAGCTGGAATTCTTATGATATACGAAGAATTGATTTCATTTACGGTACCCTCATAAAAAGTCCTATCGAAAATGCCCATCACTATCCATCCACCGGTGGTGGAAGACGTCGACACCCCCCACGCCGATTATGATTCCATGTCTATCGACTCGGACGGAGGAGTTGAACTCGAAGATTCACGACCGAGCAAGCGACCATTAATAGGAGGGACCAAAGTTGGTGCAGGGGTTGTTACACCGGGTGAAGTCGTGACGGATGATCCTCAGTGGATGAGGTTGGTTTACTTGTCGCGCAAAACACTGCGTCACTGCTAACATTCTGCGCTCTACAGAGGCCATGGTACCTACACCAACCCATTGTCTACATCGATTATCGCTACCGTCGCCGGAAATGTCCAGAAAACGAACAAATTACTCTCCGTGACGCCCCTTCGCGCCCGGTATACCCCGGAAATCGGTGACTTAGTGGTCGGTCGTATTGTGGAAGTGCAGTCGCGACGGTGGAAAGTGGATGTTGCCGCACCACTTCTGGCGAACCTCCCGTTGTCTGCGATTAACCTTCCTGGTGGTATCCTGCGTCGACGAACGAGCGCCGATGAGTTGCAGATCCGGACCTATTTCAGTGAGGGAGATTTGGTTGTCGCGGAAGTGCAAACCGTGCATCAGGATGGCTCCGCATCATTACATACTCGGTCGCTGAAGTACGGTAAACTACGGAATGGGTTTTTCTTGGCCGTGACGGGGGCTGGTGGTAGCGGCAATTCGAACTCGACTGTAAAGGGAGGAAACGGGACAGGGAATACATCTGGTGGGACAGTGGTTCGTTCTCGAAGACAAGTGTGGACGATTGAAAGCGCCAACGGGGGAGGTCCGGTTGATGTTATTCTCGGAGTGAACGGTTACATTTGGATATCGAAGCATGCCGAAGGTACCGATGCCGCATCTTCGGCGACTGAGAACGTCTCCATCACACGCATGGAAGAGATGGTGTCGAGCTCGATTTATTCGAGCCAGAATGACGATATTGCGCCGCAAACCCGACGCGAGATTGCACGATTGGCACAATGCATTCGAGTCCTAGTCCAAGGCGGGGTCCCGGTCGACGAGGAGACAGTAATGGCAGCATATGACGCCAGTCTGAATGTAGACTTGGAGATGGGAGACGACGAAGATGAGAACGAAGGGACACAGGAAGGAAGGGAATATCTGGAAGGGCGCAAAGCTCGAAGCATCCTGGAGATGGCTACGAGCCGGCAATAAAAAGTTTTAAGAGATATTAGATACCCATTGGGAATTGATGCATCCACACCATGTAATACTTCGTACCCAACTATTCCTGCCGTATTATTCCCTGGTAATAATGCCTTCCAGTAGAAATGGAGTATGCAATCACGTGAGTGGCCAATTGGAGTATATCAAATGCCGGTTAATAATGATTATTGGCATTTCAACACCAACTCTTTCGCTTGAATTCGCTTCGTTTCGAGTGATTCTTGAATTCTTGAAAACATCAGTACATATACCCTCGAACCCGACTGCTGAAATCTCAGGTACGACTTCTACTCCGGTCATCTGCTCTGGTCTTGACGTAGTCTACTATCAGGTGCATTGGAGCCTATCCCTAACTGCTGCCTCTTGGAAGGGTATATTTTGCCCGTCTGCCATGCTTCTCTTGTTCTCTCTTTCTTCTCTTATACAACTCCCTCCCGTTAGTGCACCTCGCTTTGTGATACCACTGTATCCAGAGTGAACTCGGTTTTCGTCTTACTAGCCGCCACCAACTGGAACTACCTCTACTACTTTCCCTTTCTCTTTTTTTTTTTTTTTAAAAAAAATCACATTCCACAGATTTCACGAGCCAAGATGCGTACAAAACAACAGCTCTCTGCTGCTCCTGAGCACACCAAGAAGATGTCGCGCAAAGCCGCGGCCAACGAGTATTCCGCAGGCTCAAAAGCAACCAGCCGAGTGGCTTCTCCTAACGGGTCGTCTCGCCATTCTTCTCGTAACCCAAGTCGAATTCCCTCTGAGAACGAAGATACAGACCTCGACAGGTGAGTCACTCTTTTTCTTTCTTCTGCTGCCTCCGGTGGTGGTGACGTCATTACAAAAATGTTTGAAGCCTGCATGTGCCTTGGTGCCTTGGCGCCTTGGCACTAAGAGCCTTAAAGCCTTAGAGCCTCAGTCTTAGGCCTTGATGCCCCGTTGCCTTAACATATGGATCATAGCTAACTAACAACATCACAGCCTCCTCGACTTCACCGACGATGAGGTCAACAACGAATTCTGGGAACAAGAATTCTCAGACGTCATCACGAATATCGTGGACCGCAAGCGGAGCAGCGTCCAGGGCCGTGAAGAAGCCTACACTGCCTTCGGCCGACTGTCCAAGTTCCACTACGTGCACGACGAGTTGTATGGCCGCGTCGGCGAACTTACCGCCGCTTTCTGTAAGAGCATCAAGCAGGAGTCAAGTGTACGTGAAACGACACTGGCTCTCCGAGCCCTTGAGCTTCTTGCACTCAGCGGCAACGACAACACGGTCTACGAGAACGTAGAACCGGTTCTTACTCGCGCCATTCGCGACTCATCATCCAACCTTGTCAAGTCGTCCGCCATTCGTTGTCTGGGCTCGTGTGCGGTCTTCGCAGGCGCCGGCGAGGATGGCATGTTGGACCAGATGAACTTTTTCCTCGACATTGTCGCTTCTTACGGAGAATCGATCGGTGCCAGTCATGATACGGACTGCACCGAAGCTGCTTTCTCAGAATGGGGCCATCTGGCCACCCACATCTGGGACCTCTCTGCAGAAAGTGAGGAGGCGATCGAAATCTTCGCCGAGCAGTTGGGTGGTAACGACACCGGTGTGCAGATTGCCGCCGGCGAGAACATCGCCCTTCTCTATGAAAAGAGCTTTAGTCCCCGAGCTAACTTTGGCGAGGACTCGGAGGAGGACGACGAAGATTACGAGGCCGAAGAGGACGAGAAGAACGATGAGGACGAAGCCGAGGAAGCCCTTCTCAACTACGAAGGCCCCCGGCTCGTCCAACGATACGAACCATACCACGACACCCCAGAGATCCTCAATCTCCTGAAGTCTCTGGCCACGGCACACTCCAAGAAGATCAGCAAGAAAGACAAGAAGTCTCTTCACATGAACTTCATCTCGATCTACACATCCGTGGAGGACGCCCGCCGTGGGCCAATGTACAACACGGCCATCAACTACAACACCAATCGCCACTTCGGAAGCAAAACCAGAGTGAAGATTGGCCGTGATGGCGTCGTGGTCATTGACCGGTGGTGGAAATGGATTCGCCTCAACAAGCTCCGCCGTCTCCTCCTGGGTGGCTTCTACGTCCACTTCAACGAGGGTAACCAGACTGTCCTGGACAGCCTGCCTCTTGCCGTTATTCGGTTGGATTCTGATACCGGGACTGGCCAGTGGAAGACGGACAAGGGCAGGAAGCCCCGGGATACCCGTCGTTTTGCCATTCACCACGACGAGGACGCGGAGTAAGTTGGGATTCACTTATGGAATGGGTAATCATCGGCTACGGCCTAGGGGTTCATTGGATGTACAAGGCAACCGGCCTGAGTGCAGGATCCAAGGTTACCCATTCCATCAGAGGCAATCGGCCTATTGCGAGGATACGAATTTTGGATTATACGACTACCCAGGTTGAACTTGGGAATTTCAAATCTGTTTTGTCTTTACTTATCTTGTCTCACATAAGGCAAGATGGAGTTGGGGAAACCAAAATTGTTTTGGATTTCTTGATTTATTTGTTCGTTTGGAAGAAAAAAGTTTGGGATCGATTATATGCTCAAGAGGCCACGGCCCCGTTACAGAGAATACCGTATAGATCCTGTGGCGGCGTGAACCTTCCTCGTTTCCCCTCGAAGGGTTTTGGAGGTTTAATGGGAACGTCTTGATGCTTTTAGATAGTTTTATATAGTTGGATTTAGTTTAGCGCATGTGCATGTGTGTGTGTGGCAGTTGATATACTGTTTAACCTCATCTTTCTTCATTGTACGGAGTACTCCTGTAGACATGATCACTAGGAAGGCAACTAACTCAATGACATCAGATATTATCACTATCTAATCTTATCTACATCACATGTCCACAATGCAAAAGGAGTATATGTGAGTCTCATACTTACAATATATACATATACCAGTTGTACACAGTAGATCAACCAAAAACCGGCACAACCCCATTCCACTCCCCCTTCCCTCTCTCCTCCCAATACCCGTCCCTCCCATTCCTCAACCGCCACACCACCTCTCCATCACTAGCAACCTGCGTGAACCACCTCGGCGCCCAGTTCTCCCCCGTAGCTTCCATTTCACGTCTGCGTGCACGCTGTCCCTCTTCAAGCTTGACCTTGACGTCCTCTGCTTTATCGAGGTCGTTGTCTTCGAGGGCGCGCTGGTCAGGACGGAGACGCGAGTCTGTGGGCGGGAGAGTGTCTTTTTCAATGCGTGTGAATTCGTTGAGCGCCGCGGCGAAGGATGTCATGCCGTAGTGTTTGGGGGCGTTGGGGACGAGTTGTCCCGCGGACCATATTGTGCCGGTGCCGGAGGAGTTCTTTGTCAGTGTTAGGGACTGTGTCCATGTTCCTGAGAGACCGATGGGTGTTTCGGTGCCGTTCGGGTCGAGGATCTTGGTTGATACTTCTTCGCTGCGGCCGGAGAAGATGCCGCCTGCTTTGAAGGTGGAGATGGCCTTGTGGCCGGATGTTTCGTTGAGGACGGACATTTCACCGACTGGTTCGACGTATTTCTCTCCCGCGATGATGTTGCGCAGGAAAGAAGTTGCTGAGGACCAGCTGTAGTGTTCGCCTGTGGCGTGGAGGGCGAGGCGGATCTTGCCCTCTGTGACGATTTCGGCGGATTTACCCCAGAATTTCTGCGTTGGCATGGGGGATTGGGTGAGGGACCAGTCTTTGCCGTCGGCGTGGTAGGCTAGTTGGACGGGGCGGTGGGAGACTTTTTCGGCGACGAAGCGGAAGCCCAGGTCTTCGCGGATGAGTTCGTAGGTTTCGCCGAGCATGGGGTTGAATGGTTTGCGGATGGCGCGTTCTTTGACGCGGTTGCTAGAGAGGGAGGCTAGGGCGAATGCTGTTACGTAGGCGAGTCGTTCGACGGGGTCGGAGACGCTGGTTGCTTTGTCTAGGAGGGTTGAGTATTCGAGGACTTCGGCTGCACGCTGGAGCAGGGAGAGGGGTTCGTTTGCGGAGACTGGCATGGAGATCTGCGATAGATCCTTGCCCACGTTCTTGCGGAGGAATCCGATCAAACTAGGCGGCATGACCTTTGGCGCGGGGATGTTGTCGCGACGAGACACCTTGTCCAGCGGCAGGGGCGTAAGCGATTTTGGTTTCGCAGGGAAGAGGGAGGACAGTCTGTCTCGCTCTTCGTCGTTTGATGGCTCGGGCGTCTCCTCTTCCTCGCTGTCAGATGGTGCATCGTCTGCCACGACCTCCTCTTCGGCTTGTTGAGCGGCAGTTGCAGCGGTATTGTCCACCTCTTCGTCATCACTGTCACCGTGCATGGTGAGAAGAGGCGAGTCGTTGCCATCGCCGGCTTCCGCATCGAAGAACTCCTGCGACACATCGGACTCCATGCTACGTCTGGGTGCTGCCGATGTGGGGGAGTTTCGACGCTGTTCGCTCTGCGTGATCAACGACGAAAACTCGCTCAGGACACTATCCATATCGCGCAAAAGACCCATCAAGTTGTCATGGACGTCCTCCGCTGGTTCTGGGTGGCTGACAACGCTGCTGGGCTTTCGCTCGCCTGTATCGACTCATTAGCTTGATCACACTGTTAGTTCTTAGGTTGAAGGGTACGTACGCCTAACACTTGGATTCGCGCTGCTACCACTAGTCTTCCGCTTCCAAAACGGGCGATTTTGCGTACCAAAGTCGCCACTGTTCACCTCCTGGCTGGGACTAGGACTGGGCGAACGATCACGCGGCCGTTCCGAAGGGACCGGAGCAAGTGTGGACGCAGTGCTCTGATATTTCGGATCCGTATCTTTGGCGAGCTTGCGCACCATGTCGCGCGACGCAGACATACGGCCTACCAGTGTCTCGACCTGTATCCACTCCCGATCTTCCGCAGGGCTACTGGCGGGCGGGGCAGCGCCCTGGGACGGCACCCTAAGTAGTACTTCACCCTGCGGGTGCTTTTCCTCCTCCGCCGGTGCCTTATGTGAAGCCTTCTCCAAGGCACGTTTCCACTCGACGAATTCCTGGTCGTTGCTTGCACGGAGATGCCAGATCTCCGCGCCAGAGTCAACCGAGATCTCGCGCGTCTTCTCGTTGCACGCGACAGCCGCTAGATGAAGAGGAATCGAGCCTCGAAGAGTAGCAGAGTTGGGGTCGTGGTAGTACGACAGCGTCGACGAGGTAAAGTCCAGCGCGAAGAACCGTCTAGCCCATCCCTGATGGCGCTTTCGTCGACGCTTATGCAAAAGACCCCTGTGAACAGTAGACGGAACCGCAGCCTCACCATTCTGCGCCGTAGGAGGCCTAGCGTTACTATTCCCCCGTCTCCTTGACATCGGCCTCAACGACTCCGCCGACGCCCCATCCTGAAACGGCTGTCCGTTAGCATGGCTGGCCGGCGGAGCAAGACCAGACTTGGGCGGCACAGCGGTCGGGTACGTCAACAGCACCAGGGTCACGGTCTTGGACAACTGTTTCGAAAACGTATTATCGAACACGAGAGCGTAATTCCCGCCCTCATTCTGCGTGACATCGTGAGTCCCCTGCGCGATCTTATCGGCCTCGCACTTCCCGACCCATTTGATCTGTTTCAACCCAATCCCCGTAAGTTTCTCGATAACAGATAGGTTATTGTTACTGTGTCTTCCACCAGTCACAGCGCTCGACGGCAGATTCTCATTCGAATCGGTACTATGCGAGTCGGAGCCCGGTAAGGCGGAATGGCCGGGATGCTTGAAGATGCCGAAATTCAGGGATTTCTTATGCGGTTGGATGCTCCAGGAGAGGGTATGATTGGATTTGACGTTTACCCAACGGACGAGATATGACTGCACACCAATAAGATCCCTGTCAGCAATGACACTTTGACACTTGAGCCGCAATCAATGACAGCTGCCCCTTACTTACCTTGCTGTGGACTTCTAATGTTTCCATGCCCGCCATGGCTGTAAAGTGGACGAGACAGTCTAGGTGTCAGGTTTGAAACGGTTGACAAGCACGATGCTCCGTGTTGAGAGGAGGTGTAGCGCAGGATGGCTGGGGTTTGTTTGGTGGGGGTTCTTTAAATCCGTTGGCTGGCTGGAAGTACTGCTGCGGCCATTGACTAGACAACGACAGTGGGCGATAAACGAGTGGGAGACGTTAAATATGTAATGGAGAATAAACAGGACGAGAATAAACGAAAGGGAGAGGGAGAATATGAGAGAGAATGGGATGGGAGAAGTAAAGAATAGAATAATAGAGGGGATGCGGGCGGACAGGGCTGAACGAACCCCGAGGCCGGCGTTCACATGACTGAGGCACTATACGAACTAGTAGTGCTACTATGTGGCTATAGAGGGCTATACAAGGCGCATTTTGGAAAATCTGACAGGAGTATTGTAGTAAAGTACAATTACGATTGTGGCTATACATGCAAATGCTCTGTCCATTGCTAAACTCAACAAAAAATACAAGAATTTATAGAAGATGAAGATTGAATCCAGGATATTACAGTACCAATTCCCATTACCCATGCATCTCCATTGGTATATCATAAAGATGTAAGGTTAACGCCTCGTTCCAGCCTGCATGTTGGTAAATAACAGCTTGAACCCATTGCACAACGCCCGCATGTCCGGATACGGGTTCCTCTGCAACTCATAACCCTGGGGGATCACTTTAACCGGCCAGCTGTGTAGCCGAGCCTTCTCACCGGCCTTGAAGCACAGGTAGAAGTACCCCGGATGCTTCGGATCAATGCAGAATGCATATGCCGATCGCCGAGGGTTCGCTTTGGTGTACGTTTCCAGCCAGGTATCTAATCACCGTTAGTAAAGTTTATCCCAATTAGGAAATCGTAGCGAAATAAACATACCAGTCTCCGTCTTGCTGCCCTCTTGGAACTTCTCGTTGGATATCATCTCGTCCACCTTCTTCGACATCGCCTTGACGTGGTTGAAGATCAGGTCGTCCAGATCACTGTATGTGTACCGACCCCCCACCTTCAATGTCCGACCGACAGAGAACTCGTTCTCCTTGTCCAGTTCCAGCACGTCAATGTGCTGGTAGACACCATCCGACACCTTCCAGGTTACTGCCAGGTGGTCCGGTCCCTTGGACGACGGCCGGATCACTACATCACCCCGGCTCTGCGACCCCAGGTACTCCACCGCCTGGGTGGAGTTAAACGGCCGGAACATCGGGTGTTTAATAACGCGAACCGCTCGGCCACCATCCTGGGTCTTCTCTTCTAGGGACTCCCGATCCTTGTGTTCCTCCGAGTGATCCCATTCGCCGTTGATTCGGTCGTTCGGCTTACCCGACGGTCGGCTGGTTTGCTCTTCGCGCAGTGACACATTACACGTGAAATGCTTCCGGTTCAGGAATAGGATCTTGGCCGGCACCGTCTGGTGCATCGAGTACAGCGCCCGCACAGGAATGTCGTAGCGGTCCGTCATCTCTGATTCAGGCACCAGAGCGTCAATGCCCGAGTCGAGTTTGCCGTCGATGTGGTCGTCCGTGATCCGCTTGATGGAGATTGGTACCACCATGCCCTCGTACAACGTATCGCCCGTTTCTCCTGTGAGCATGGTGAAGATCTCATCCGTTTCCAAGAACACATACGGCTTCCGCAATTCCTCGTAAGGCTGCTGCAATTCGGCTCGAATCGTCTCCAGGGTCGCCCGCTTCCGCTGGTTCAGGTTCCGCTCCAGCTGCTCGGCGTATTCTTCCAGGATCAGATCATTCACACGATCTTGTGCTTCCTCACGGAACAATTTCCGCACGATGGCTCCTGGTCCGTTCTCGTCCGTCTCCGCCTTGATGTCCTCTTCGTCCAACTCCAGGGCGTCGGCTGCCATCTTGCGAGCAATGTCGTAGTCTTCTGGGTGCACACGGGTGTTGTCCAGGGGATCCGCATCCGGGTCCGCGTTCTCGTAGTCAATGTACAAGAAGCTGGCACAGTTGTTCCAAACCTTGATACCCATGGCGGGATACTGTGCGTTGACACCCAGAAGTTCCACACGGTTGTTCACCAGGCCCCCGTTCATGTTCACAATCTTGAGAAGGTGGGCCGCTTTGCGAGGACCAAGACCACAGACGTAGGGAAGAAGGTTGGCCGTCGCCGTATCGGAAACTGCTTCGTTGAGGTCGACACCCACCAGGTTCACCATGTCCACCAGCGCAGTCTCCAGTTGCTTCGTCAGCAACTCCTGGGCGACCAGCTGCTGGCCAGGCTTGAACTGAATCGAGACGACATCCCGACCCAGCGATGCATACTCCTTGAGCGGGCTCTGAAGGTACTTGGCGAGGGCAACGCAGTAATGCGTCAACGGAGCAAAGCCAGGATGATCCCTCTTAGCTCGCTCGCTGTGTTGGTACAACCGTGCAACCTCGTCATTGACAACCACCACTTCCAGGCGGTCGCTGACTTCCTCGTCGCGGTCGTCGGTGTATGCGGCCCCGCGAAGATCCTTCTGGTCAATAACCTCTGCCAGCAGTTTGTACAGCTTGCGCGCCTCCGGAGACATTCCGGAAACTGCGATGACGTCGGGTCGCCGTCGATCCACCACATCCACAAAACCCTCCACATCCTTGCCATCCGGGATAGCGCGATCCCGGTCACCGATCGATAGGTCCGTGAATTTACCATTCTCCAGCACTCGCCCGTCCTCTTCAATGTAGGCCCAATGGATAGGCTCCCGACCGACGATGCCGGATCCCGTCGAGAGAGCCAACACACGAGGCACGGTTCCCAGAATCATACCCTTGGGCTTGTAAGGAGCTTGATCCAGGCGCTGGGAGAACGCTTCCCGGCATTCTTTGGCCACATGGTTTTCGCATTCTTGCCGGATATTTTCCTTGACACTGCGGTTGATCAAGCGCTCCAGCTTGCCCAAGGCCATGTCCAAAACATCCCGACGTGCCCGGTTCCAGGCATCGGCGAGCTCACTGTAATTATCCGACTCGATATCCGGGTACAGCCGCTGCCGGAAGTGTTCAAAGTTCTCGAAACGCACCTTGACTTCCACCAGGCCTTCCTCTTCGGCCTTGAGCATGCGGAGATAGAGCTCTGGTCGACGAGCGATATCGATAAGTTGCTGGTTCCGTAGATACTTGAACTCGTAGTAGGGATGATGTTCGTCGATTCTCCGCAGACCCTTTTCAGTCCGGAAGCAGTCGACTGCGCCGTTCATGTAGTAGGCTTGGCGGATCACCTTGCGCACCTTGGGGCTCAGCGCCAGCTCCTCTGCGAACATGGCTTTGGCAGCCTTGACTACGTGAGAGGAGTTGGAAAAGTCGCTGTCCAGAAGCCCGTCGGCCATCTCATCTGGCCGCACAGCGGGGTCCTCGGTATATTGACGACGGCCTTGTTTCATGGCGTTTTGTGCAAAAGCATCCACTGTAATACCAAAGGCGCGCACAAACTCGTAGGCTCTGCTGTTGCGGATACGCTCGAAGAACGAATTGCCCGAGGCCTTACGGCGGTGCACATCGCCATTGGCGTCACCATTCGCCAAAGTCATGTCGCGCAGCTGCGTTGCATACTGGAAGTGGATGTGGTCCTGGATATCTTGCAGCTCCTCCATAGTGACAGCGACAGGGAGCATCTCCTCGATCACATGATCATTCACGTCGAACAGGCTCTGTAGGTTGTCATAGGCTTTTTGGATGGTGCTCCGCTTGTCTACCAGCGCCCTGAACTTGAGGTCATAATCAAAAATGTCCCAGAGATCTGTCATGTTGAGCAGCTTTTCAGCCTGGATCTTGTATTGTCCGTCCCCATCCATTGCTCCGTCCGTGGGCACCTTGGCTGCATGGATCATGTAATCCTTCCGGTGCTGAAAGATAAACGGGACTTCCCAATCGTCTGTAACGAGGAGCTCCAGCACTTTAGCCACGGAACGCTGGAACGGCTCATGCAAATCGGGTTCAATGCGTTTCTTGAGCAACATGAGGTTCGATATCCAGCCTGCCTCTTCCCGGAACTGGTCATCTGTCAAGACAATGTGTGTATATGGTTTGCGTGAGAGCTGATGGCGTTCCGGTTCATCAGCCAGACGAATATGATTGTCATCCTCGGTCAACATCTTCTCGGCCAGCTGCGACGGTTCGAAGACGTCTTTCAGGTCCAGATGCCTCTCTTCGTGCTCCTCCTGCTCATCTTCCTGGTCCTCCAAATCCAGGGCAAAAGCATACTCGTTGCCGTCACCGAACGCAGCACGCATGTCTTCCAGCGCGTTTTCGTCCAATCCCGCCATATCAGAGGGGCCTAGGCCAGTAACGCGAGGCTTGGGACGGGCAATCTCGAGATCATCCTCCCGCTCCCGCTGTATTTGTTCATCATCGGAGAAGACATCCTCCTCAATGAAATCGTCCATTTCATCGCGCATTGGTCGCCGAGGTCGAGCATATTCGCCTGCTGCTTCTTCCTCTTCATCCGAGTTGAACATGTCATCGATGCCACGGGACGGTCGGGGACGGTCGCGTTCTTTGTGACCACGCTTTAAGCGCTTGAATTTGGACTGTAGGCAACGGAGATTCCAGGTTAGTCCTGGTGACTTGTAGGGTGGGAGGTCAAACCTAGACATACCTCTGAAGCGACTGGGGGTTGCACAGCTGGGTTGAGCTCCCCAATCAATTCCAGGTCTTCCTCATCCAAATTTTCATCTTCGCGCTCGCGCTCTTCTCGCCGTCGTTTCTTCTTCTCTTGTCGGCGTTGGGCGCGGTCTTCAATCTCTTCGTCTTCGTCGACGATGAAGCCTTCTTGGACCTGGGTTGGGTATCAATATCATAACGCTAATGATGTACTAATTGTTGAATTAGCGCGACCTACCGCGCGAGCTGCTTCCTCGTCGTCTTCTTCTTCGTCCTCCTCACTCGAATCATTTGCATAGCCTCTCTGCGGCTTCGCAGGACCCTCCCGGACTCCCTCGTCGTAATCATCGGCGGGCTCCTGCTCATTCTCCTCATCATCGTCCAGCATCGCCTCACCCTCGATGAATTTGTTTGCGCTCATTCTGGTATGTTCGTATTAAAGAGAGTGGTTCGGTAAAGGGAGTCTTGACAGAATCGAAAGTTTTCGGGGAGAGGCAAACAGGGAAAGGAGAAGGAGGAATTAAACCGGTTAACAGGCAGGACCGGCAGAAGCGACAAGAGAGGAAGAAGGAGAAAAGAAAAAGAAAAGAGAGAAATCGAGATGGATGGCAACAATAAGA